GTTCTACACTCTTCTATACTAGAACTCAGGACTTCTGTCCCTTAGGGGTGCTGTTTATAGACTATATACATACTGACTCTTACTACTACCCTTCCTTACTTCATCATTCCATTCCTTTAACCACCCCTTCATTCTTTGTATCATTCTATAGTCTCTTACCCTTTGTCCATCCCTTCATTCTTTGTACCTTTATCTTTGACATTCCTTTCTTTCATTCTTTGTAGCTTATCATTCTTAAGTGGCTCATACTCCCTGAGTGCTCTTGTGTAGTTTAGTATATATAGGCATACAAGATCAGACTAGTCCTGTAGTCTTGATCTTGTCTACTCTAGGTAGTTCTGTACTCTTAGGCTCACTCTATATACTCTACTCTTGTCTCACTCTCTCTCTCCACCTGTTCTGCAAGTTCCAACTATGTTCTAGTACTTACATTCTGTATTTCTGTTGTGTAGGATAGTTGTAGCCTGGGTCCCCTCACTGAGCCTTCAGGTCCTCTCTATACTATTACTGACAGTGTATATTATGACTATTGTTCTTTGCTTTTTCTTTTTGCAAAGAATAATGTATTATAACACAATCCACATATAATTAATATATTGGATTATATTTACTATAATTGTCTCCTAGCATTCTTTAGTTAATCTAGTACTATACACAATTGTAGTATTTGTTCAACATTTTATTTGTTAATTGGTTTGCTAGGTAAAACATTTTATATATCAGTTTTATTTATTTTATTTGAATCATTGTATAGATATACCTATTAGTATCTATCTAATGTATTTCATAGTATTATAATACTGTTCACACTTGTATTAATCACACAGTAAGGGCAAATTAATTGTTTGTACAAGAATCAATTTAATAGTTTTATTTAATTATATGTATGTGCTCCATACTTGTTTATATAGTTATTATCTGTGTATTGTTCAGTTGTAGTTGTGAATTATATTGCAATTATATTCATATTATCCTATGGATATATTATTTATTGTTTTATGTATGTTCCAAAGTATTATTTTTGTTATTCATCACTTTTATCTATGAACTATAGTCTGAATTGATGAATTATTTTGTTACATAATGTGATAATTGTCTGTATATTATTTATTTTCGTATTAAACACTGTTAAGTTAATTATATTATTATATTAATATTATTTGCCAAGTATGAGCATTTGTTTCATAGTAGAATTATTATTTATTTAATGTTGAAGTTCAATCACACATTGTGTTGACTCCTGTTATTTAGTTCCAATCAATGTAGTTTTGCTTTGTACCAAATGATTTACCTTTATGATCCATTATGTCTGTCTGTAACTTCTATCACTTAGTTAGTGCTTAGTCTGTGAATTTCATTATTCTTGAATTTTGTTATTCTATTTTTCATAGTGTCTGTAGTGTTATACTTTTTGTTCTGTTGTTTATATTTAGTTATTAATTTTTCGTGCATATTATCCATTTTCTCCCCTTCAATTCAAGAAGGTATTTCTTTAAAGAATTGGATATTTCTTTAATGTTTATTAATTGTTGTTATAATATAATATTTATATATAATAATTGTAATTGCTTTCATGGTTTGATTTCTAATTATTAGTATTTTAAAGTAGTGCATAATGTTTGTTATGTTCTATAATAAGTAATTTAAATGTTATTACTATTATATCTTTGTTACTGTTAACGTTTGTCAACTTATATAATGTGTATTTTGTTTGTTATAGTAGATAAGTACACATTATGTATAATATACAAGTTTTGTTTGTGCTTGTTATCTTTTATTAATTATTGTTTGTAATTATGAATGAATATTTTGTTTTTGTGTTGAAAACATATAGTAATTTGTTTGTTTCTGTATAATATTTGTTTAATAACATTATAATTATTATTCATGTAGCACTTTTAATAAGTGTGCTGAGTTTTATTAAGTGTGCTCACATCCATTATTACCTATTTTATATTATACTGTCTGAGATAATAGCTTAAACATTTTATTAATTTATTTAATCATATTATATTATGATTGTTTTTGATTGTAATTATTATAATAATGTGTTCATAATAATAATATTTGTATTATTTGTTGTAATAGCCTTATCAGCTTAATACTTTGCTCCTACAAGCTACATTGTCACAATGTAAATTTAATAATCATTTGTTAAAGTATATACACTGTACAGTTGATGTTACTGTTACAACTTCGAAATTTATTATATAATCAGCTGCTGTGATAACACATTCTGTGTAATTAAGTTGTATTAATGTGTTGTTTTGAGTATATTAGAGATATAATTCTTTTGTTCATTGTTAGTATACATTTACACAATTGTATTAATGTGTAAAGTAGTATCATTTGTTTAATAGTTATAATTTTTGTACTTGTCTTGTACTGTAATCAGTATTTATACATTATAACATTATTCTTTTGTGTGTAGTTAGTTTATATGCTCTGTAGCATTGTTTTTTGGTTTGTAGTTATTTATTATACTTTTGTATATCCATACTTGTCTGTATATCTTAGATATGCATATTATATTTGGTATCCAATAAGTAATCATAATATCTGACATGTAACTGCTGAATCTGACATGTTTCATAATAATCACTCAACTGTATTATGTGTTAGTTATTATATTGTTCTGTATTTGTTCCATTAGTTCTATCTGTATTATTATCATTATCATTGTTATTATTGTTGTTATTATAGTGTCCACAATTGTATTATTGTTTATAATACATGTTAAATGTTTTATTTATTCGATTTAATATACTGTTTAGTATATATGCACTTGTTTTGAGCATTAATTGTTCAGTCATGATATTACTATATGTGTTATTATTTGATTTATGCTATAACATAGTATGTTTGTTCATTGACAGTGTTAATCATTTGTACTATTGTAATGTTAATAGTAGAAGAGTAGCATTTGCTTTATTAATCTTTTTAACATTTGTCTGTAGTATGATCAGTTAATTTATTATAACATAATCTCTGTGATATTATAGAATATTTTAGCATTTAATAATCATAGTAAGTGATACTCATTGTAGTTTCAATGTCACCTGCATAGATTATGTTACTACTGGGCCAATGATCATAATCACTAAGATGACAATCATATAATGTCTAGGTTGTATGTAGTATAGTGGATTGTGTGTCTGTAGTGTATTGATTTGTGTTTGGGATACTCAGACAGGTGAGTCAAGTTCTGTGTTGTAGTATGCTGCATGTGTGCATGTGATGTGTAGAACTGTATAGAGTATAGACATAGTAGAGTGTAGATAAAGTGTAGGTAGGGAGCTCAAGGCTCATAACCTGTTAAGAAAGGGAAAGAGAGGTTATGTGAGAGGCTTAGAGGGATCACACAAAGAGGGGGGATAGTGGACTTGGCTTGCTCTCTTGTGGCTTGCTTCATTGTCTGTTAATTAGTTAGTCTATATATACTATGTAGGTATGTCTCAGATGTAGAATGTATGATGGAAGGTATTCCATCATCATTTGTCATTGCTTGTAATGTAGTTTATATCATCTGAGACATACTCTTGTGTAGTCTTGTCTTAACAGCAGTGCTTGGTACAAAGGAGCTGCCTGAGAATGCCTGCCTAGCTGCATTTGACTCAATAGTCACAATGGCCTACAAGATGAAGGAAGGCAGTAAAACATACTTTAGTACTCTCTATTTTTCTGTAATTGTTAGGAGAATGTGTTCTCTAAGTTGATAGTACAGTCTGATTGTAAATTAAGCTTACAGCCTTTACACTAACTATATTCTAAGCTACTAAGACAGGATATTATGTAAGGAACAAGAAAGATACAAGAGTCAAAAAAACTAAAGAACTACTATATAAAATAAGTAGTATTTATAATGTAGAGAGGACTAAAAGGCTTAGAAACAAAATAAAAAGAGTAATAAAAGTATGAGACAATAAACAAAACATATAAAGGTAAAAAGGAATAAAGAGAACAGAGAGTATTGAGTAAATAGCTTGACCAGGCTAAAACTTAGTAAAATGGGAAAGGTCAAAGGAAGCTATAAAGTAACCGCCACTAGTAGACACTAAGTGTGTACAATCCTGTACTTCAATCCAGCAGTGTCTCGATTGCACCGTAATGTAACATTCCTCTCTGTCTTTGTTTTTCTAGAAGAAATATTCAGGAGGTGTGTAAGTACTAGCATGACCCTGTCTATCCCTAAGATTACCTACGAGATCGCTACCTCCGCAATGCCGCGGCGAACATAGGTTTTAAGTTTGGACAGAGTACAACAACGGATGGTCATCACAACATTATTGGATGAAAGAAGACGCCGGAAGAGACCTTTGACGTAGCGGGTGCAGTAGGCGCTGCGCAAGTTCGCTTCTAGTGCGATTCGGCATTCCGCGACTTTGCTTGATGGTGACTAATTTTATGTTAACAAAAATCGTTGAGACCGCTAAAGTCTTGAGCGCTGTGTGTCTATGCCTTGCATGAGAATATCTCGGTTGCCTTTGCTATTCGTACTCCAGGCGATGACTGTCTGTGCTAGAATGATCAAGCTCAGCGTGTGACGGCGGGTGCAGTTCATCTGGATAAATCTTCAGCGTCCGCTGCATACAACTGACAGCTTTTGATCTTATCAAGCTTTGGGGATGGACTGTGGGGTCTTTGTTTGATCTTCTTGCAAAATATATTAGAAGGGGTCAAAAGTGAGCTTCTGCCGCACCATCCGCACGTCCTTGTCGGAGGTAGGTAACCAAGTCATTTCGTTTAGCCTCGTATCCAAGGGGAATAGACTTTTTCTGAAGCGAATTCTGGACCTGCGTCTTACTTATTTCCAAAATCTGTCAAGGCATTTTGGGTAGTGGGACCTTTTCCGTCTCCTTCAAACAAGCTGTCTCACTATTTGAACCATTAGCTTCATTTTTGCGCGGGCTTGTGAGTCTGCTGTGCACACTCCATCATTCTCCTTCCTCCAGGCCCAGCTTTTCTCTCTCCCCTCCTTCCAAAGCGCTAAAGACAAGGATATGCCCGACTCTTTGGGTGAGGTCACTCCGGCCCAAGTGGTACAAGGCATACGAGATGCGAATACAACGCGCTACATCAGTGGTAAATATTTCCCCTCACCCTTCATCAATTTGCTCTTCGTCTTCTACTATTATCTAATAAAACCCATTGTAATCCATGATTCACAGCGATAGGGCTTGTCCTTTTGCTTTATAACCACATACTCAGCTTTCCCGACGAGGTAGAATTTATCTGGAGTGCTAGGTCTTCCTTCGCGAAACATGTCTTCCTCCTGAACCGTTACGTCGTCTCAGTCGCACAAATATGTGTCGCGGTCCGTAAGTAACCTGTATCATTGTTGGTTTTCCTGCGCCACTTACTCTTGAATCACATCATTCGTTTGCTCGAAAGTCATGAACCATTTTACTGATGACGCTCTACCTAATGCTGTAAGCCGTACAGTTACGTTAAAAATGGATGCTCACTGAGCCCCTTCTTTTCCAGAGTTGTCAATTAGTCATCACTGTAGCCTTCATCATCGGAATCTGCTCAATCGCAAGCGGGAACGTCCTGGTGATTCTGCGCGTCATTACACTGTGGGACCGCGATAAAGTATGTCCTCCAACGACGGCGTGCATTTTTGCATTTGCTTTCCGCCCATTGCTGAAAACTTCCTTTACTGATTATATAGTACATTGCCTGGCTCATGGCCATCGGTTTCTGCGCTTCATTCACGTCCACAGCAGTTTTCGCGATCATTGTCCTCGTCAATGCATACTGTGAGTGTTGGACAAGTCCTTTGTGCGCCTAGGTTAGTTAATAGTCCCATGTTTCTCTCAATTCGATGTATAGCTGGTTTTATGTACGTGCCCTTCGCACATACCTGTGTGTCCACCATCAAGTCTCCGGCTCTTCCTGGTGTCTGGGCTTCTCCGGTACGTCCAAACAGAGATTGACTCTCGCTACATTTTTTTCTGTAATTGACGTTAGTGCTTGCGTTGACATTTAGCTCATCTTCGAAGTCATGGTACTCACGCTGGTCATCTATAACGCACTCAACCGGCCTCGTGGGAGCACTACGCCGTTGCACCGTGTCCTGCTCCGTGATGGGATTCTTTTCTTTGCTGTGCGTCCTGTGTCTATGATTTGCCTATTCGTAACAATCTTATTGATCCTTAATTAATTAACCTTGAAAATCGTGTCAGTCTCTCGCAAGTGAGTTATTTTGCCAATTTGTATGGGTTGCGTCCCTACTCATGAGCTCGCTTGTCGCAGCTCTACGAACAATAAATTTAATCGTGGCTATAATTTCAAGGGTAGGTTTACAAGGCTAGGTATATGCTCTCTCAACATGCTTGTGCTAACTGTTTTGAACTAGCCAACCCTCGTCTTTAGCGGTGTATTGTAAGTAGCATCCATCATTGTTCCCATACCCACAGAATCGCACAGGCGCACTTACTCGATTTACCTAATACGCATGAAGCTTCCTCTGGTCAATGACGACACTCGTACTCAACCACTCGCTCCTCAACATCCACAAAGCATCGGCAAAGTCCGCACATATACGCCTACCAAGTCGTACATCGTATCGTGGACATAGTCGACAGCCGAGTGACATTCTCACACCAAGTAAGTATCGTCGTTCCAGCGTGGTCCATTCATAAATTGAGCCTGGTTGGTAGCTTATTCATAGGCAGAAAGGGCACACTGCTGGTGCAGGACCGGTGGCCTAGATTCCCTTTCCAGACCTGATTGTAACACCAATGGGAGAGAGATGGTACCCGGAACTCGGTGTGGCGTGCTGAACGCAGTCAGAAGTCTCCGTTGAAGTAGATACTGTGCTCTATATGTACTAGGAGTAAGGGAATTATGTATTTTTAGTCTTAAGTACGCACTAAACGTGTTAGTCGAGGAATTTTTGTTAAATATAGCTCAAAAGGTATCCGACACTGTGTTTGTGGCCAATTAGGATGTGGGCAATGGCAGGAGCGTGCCTTTGTTATACATCGTCGGCTTGAGTATGAGGATTGACGAATGAGTGAATAACCCAACTCTGGTATCGAAGGTGGTACATTATTTTTTCGCTATATCGCAATAAAATAATAATCAACCTTGGCGGATACTTTGCAGTGAAATGGATATATTGACTACACGAAACAGTCTAGGAATATGCTGCAGACAAGAAATGAGCGACGTGTATATGCAAGGGGAAAGAAAACCCAAAAGCCTGTAAAGAACGTGGAGAGTTGTAATAAGAATAAAGGAACGAAAGAAATTGCGTGAACCCAGAAGCAAATCCCAATATGTACACGTACATCTCCTCAGCACTGGTACCTACCACGGCACAAGTACTACTTCTTCCGTCCCGGAATTAGACAGAGTAAACTATAGTAATGTGTGAATCAAGAAGAGACACATGAGAGTAATAATAACGGGAGCGACGAGGGTTTTCAATCATGCCATGCGGAGCTTGCATTGCTGTGAGAGTCTGGAACGTATGTAGGTAGATAATGCTGGAATCGGTACTGGAGGAGGAATCTGATAACGCAGCCAGATATGCTACTATACTCGAATGATCTCCCACTATGCGAAAAATGGTGTGCCGAGTGTGAAGAACTTGTTTAAGATTAGTCTGCTGAGAGTTTGAGCTCGACGCGCGGGTGCGAGTCTCTCCGTCTCCGCTCGACGAGAATATAGCTCACTGAACAGGGCAATATTTTTATTTTAACCTTCATGAGTGAAAGTTCTTGGAAAGTCTGGATTAGGAAGGAACGGACCTATGAGTTGTTCGAGGGATTCTACGACCTCGGGTTTGATTTCTAGCCAGGCGTGCTTGGACATACGCATAACGAAGAAGTGACGCTTGTGTTTGTGCTTGATAACTAGAGGCTCTTTGTTGTCACCATCTGCTCGAATCAACTGCGGAGCCGTTAATTCACTATTTTCTTACGAACTAAATTAAGTTCAAGGTATCTCACCTGTAATTGTCGATTGTGCGTTTTCCAGCGATAAGAGACGCCGGAGTTGGAGTTAAAGACACCACCTCTGCTGACAAAACACTTATCGGTAACAGTTACGATGAAAACGAATGATGCAAAACACACGTTTTCTTCGGCGTGTAGTGAAGCCACTCCCGTGCGTCGGTCCATGCTGCGTTCTCATCCTTATCGAGGCCAAATCGTACGCGAGGCTCGCGCTTGGGTTCTCGCTCGATCTCGGCGACGGTGATCATCTGCTGAGAGTCGATATCGAGTTTCTTGATCTTTGTGATAGTAGGGTGCCAGAAACGAGTGACGATCTCGTAGTATAGTGTGTCGTCATCGACAGCGATCGTCGTGTTGCGCAGGGAGTTAGCAGTAAAGACCATCTTGTGTGGTGGATCGGCTTTCTTTGGAGGAGGCATCGTGACGGGCACTGCACTTGCGGGAGCGAGACAAGGATGGAAACGGGTCTGGCTTGAGGCAACACGGACATAGTCGTTTGGAGGACCGGCTTTATAGGTAGGCCTCTGGCTCCCTCTGGTGCATACCCACAGACTGCAGTTCACCCGCGGAAAAGGATCCCACGGAGGGACCGGGCCAGCCAAGGCAGCGTCTCGCTAAGCATAGCCCGCAACGTCATTGGAAGGCCCCTGCCGATGATTGGATAGTCTGGACAGCATTCGGTTGCGCGGGGTGGGTATGAGAGCGGTCTGTCATAGCAGGCGTGGTAAGATAGACACCAAAGATGATCGAAAGGCGAGCGCAGGATTGGCTGACACAGCTTGTGGGATCAGTGGAAATGAAACTCCGGTTACTGTGGATCAGTGTTCCCCAGCGCGTTCCGTGTTAAATTTTCTCAGAAATCGGTCGCCGAGTGGTTCGGCGACAAGCGTGCAGTGTCCTCAGTACGTTACGCATTGCCACTAAGCTAGTTGTACAGCTCTGGAAAGCCAGAAATCTTGGCGATAATCAAGGGACTCAAGGCACTTCCGAGTCAGATGACGACATGAACACTAGAACTGATGAAGGAGGGGAAGCTGAGCTGTTCCTTAGTCTTAACCATTTGGTGATGCTGCAAGATAGTCCAGCTTTATTGGTGAGAAATGCGACATGAGTGAAGCCAGAAGAGGGAGAAATGAATCCGATATTCGGTGCCGTGAGACGGCTAATTCAGGAAATACCATATTGGGTAGACAAATCACACATAATCTGCAGCATTGGTTTTGTTTCAATATTTGACACCGCCTAATTGTGATTTCTGACATTGCATTTTCAGTTTCTGGGAAGCCGGGAGACCGTTCCTTCCACCGATATCTGGTATCCTTCAATGCGAATTATACGTTGAGGGTACTGCAACAGAACTGATTACAATAACGCTGTGAAGATCTAACAAGAATGCCTAATTGGGCGATCTGTTGTTGAACTGAATTGCCAGCCAGGCATCTGTCTGTCCTTGTGTTCTCCAGCTCTACTCAGCAACAGACATCCTCTGACAGTCCTGCCTGCCCGCTCCGTCACGTCGGCCGTGAGGTGCGACAATCGTGCGGTGAGCTGACTGAATAAGTCACCAGCAATCCCGCAACGCGGGTGCAACACCCGTCAAGCACCCCGAGCACGCCGTCAACATAAATTCGCGACTACCATCGCGCTATCAAGAAATCACCCAACTTTCTCTACGACCCCATGTTGTATTTCGCGAGCCCAATCCAAGCCGACATGATTAGAAGACCACAGAGGTCAGATAGTTTTCAGCTAGGAACCGATTCACAAGATGCCATGCTAGCAAATTTACCGGAGGAGCTGCATGACATGCGGCGCGTTCAGGCGTATGGACAAGAGGAGGATCTAAAGGAGGCGCTAGGGAAAATGATCGGACGTGTCGAGCAGCTAGTATGTCCCTTTGTCTAGTTACAAAAATTTTGAGTCTTACGTGTATCAGAGTGCAATGCTCAACCAGGCTCAAAAAAGCCAGATCGAACTCGAAACAAATCTCAAACTCGCGAGATCAAATTTGCAACTCGCACTAGCGAACAATGAAATGCTCGAAGATGCACTGCGGCGAGAAAGTGCAATCGGGAGTAAGGACGTAGGGTGGCGACGTCGCAGCGACCGGCCAGACTCTAGACAAGGACACCACCAGAAAGAGCTCTCCGACGGAGGGTCTCGACCTCCTTCAAGACAAGGTTATGGGTCGGCGCAGACAACACCAACGAGCGACGTGATGGCATCCCCGAGTGTGCCGGAGTCGCCCATTGTGAAGCCCGCAACTTCACCGGTTCCTGACAAGCCGCAGCAGCAGGACTCGCGCTTTTTCCGGTTCCGCTTTGGTTCGTCCTCGGCATCGACGAGTCCGAACCCGAATGCCGGTCCCTCGCGCCCTCGCACGCCTCCCGCGTCAGCGGGGGCTATCCCCGGAGCACGTCGGCCCGTTGATGTACTCCGCGAACGGGACGCATCTCATCTTACGAGTGCTTCACTTCCAAGCCTTGTTGCAAGTAATAACAAACGCGAAGACGAACTCGTCGCGGAGCTTGCTTCCGTAAACGCAAAGCTCGAGAAAGTATCCAAGGAGAAGAGCACACTCGAGCAGGAGGTTGAGGGACTCAGCCAGGCTCTATTCGAGGAGGCAAACAAAATGGTCGCACAGGAGCGAATCAAGTGCGCAGAGATTGAAGAAGAACTTCGACAGGTCCGACAAGAGAAAGAGGCATTGAAGAGCGCGATGCGAATAGTTGAGCAGGAGAACGAACGTCTCAAAAGTCCTATTCCAGCTTCAACTTCAACAGCTTCCTTGCCTAACGCGTCTACAAGTTATCCGGCCATTGTAGAAGATGATTCTACCCCACGGGGTTCACGCCCTATCTCACACGTTCGTCGGAGAAGCCAGGGTGGTAGCATTAGCTCCAGAGGACATTCATCCCGCGCGGCATCAATAAACGAAGAAGAGCACGTCACACGACCGAGATCCACATCCTCGACTCGAGGCTTCCGACAGAAGTCGAGCTCATCAGAACGAGGCTGGGAGTCTTCACCCTCACATGCGTCGATTCCTCTACCGGATTCGGACGCAAGTTCTGTGGTCTCTGAGAAGGAAGCAGGTGTGAAGAGTGACCTGTCTGGTGGTGTCAGGAAGGGTGAAAGTGGAGAAACGAAGGACGCGAATGTGCCCGAGGTACTATTGACTTCGCCCACGTTTCCAGACTTGCCATTTGAGGATTCGCCATGGACTCGTTTATGACGAGTCACTTTCTAGAGTCGCGATGTGCCTATTGTCTCACCGTTCTATTTTCTGGGCACATTTTTCTTCGTTTTTTTGCCGTTTAATTGCCGTTTAAATGTTCAATCCCGCAGGTCCTCTGGGAGGGCATGCGCAGAATTAACGTTAATATTTGAAGTATTAAGTTAAATAAGTATGTATGTATCAGTAGCACAGTAGCAGATCTCCGACATGTTATATACACAGTATCTCAGATGTGCACTCTTCATGTGCGTGTTTCGTCAATAAATTAACACGATGATTATATTGGCATCTTATTGATTACTTTACTTTACTAGAGTATAGAGGACTGCTTCAGCATTCCATATCAAGGCTTCTATTATTACCATATGAGTTTACTCCTAACTTTGGTACTGTCGGCGAGATGTCTGATATATGCCTTAGGACCTAATAGGAGGTTGGGGATCATGATGGCGTTGCCTTCGGTGGCTTTGCTCAGGTTGACTGTGTTGATGATGGTCTCTAGGTGGAGTAGATATAACTTTTTGTAAAAACTGCATTATCATTAAAAGGTTAGTAGCTTATAGTAATAATAAAAAGACCCTAAACGTAAATCAGCTAACTCACACCACACTGTATTGCATCAGACGCTGTCAATCTCTCCTTGTAGTTTGGTTTTAGGCACTTCTTAAGAAATTCAAATGCTATACTGGTTTTAAGCCTGTTATTCCTCAGACAAATAGTTATAGTAGACAAACCAGCTTTTTCCTTATTTAACAGAGAATTTGGGTTTTTAGGACGCAAAGGATCCTTCCATAAAGGCATTTCCAATTCTTCTAAATAAAACCAGAACATTTTCTCTTTAAAAATCTTATCCAAAGCTTTTTGATCTTTATTCCTGCCTAAATTTTATAAATTTAGTGTTAAATAAACTAGTAATGTGAAATTTCTTACATTCCTTTGATTCTTTCATATCTTCACGAGCCCTTCTTCTAGCTATATGCTGACGTATTTGACTGTAGGTCTTCCAATCAACTGGATAAAAGGGGAATTGTATACCATCTTCAGTTTTAGACCACAAATTATAGCATATCACACTATGTACATATTTGTCAGAGGTAAAGCTTGCAAAACGTATCTGTCTGAAGAAGTACTGACGCAAAAGAAAATATATCTGATGTATAAGTCATCTCACGTTTGAAAACTTCAGGTGCAGCATACGGATATGCGGTGTAAACTCCTGATATAAGAACCCTCTCACAAGGTTTGACTTCGCGTGTTCTGCAAGTTATAGTAGTAATTTCAGAATAGATGCTCTAGTGACAAGTACTTACGCTCCAAAATCAGTTAGCTTAACAATCCTAAAATCCCTAGACACTAGGACATTGTTTTGTCTAAAATTGTTAGTATTACAATCAATGTACAATATGTATTTCAGGTACTAGGTGAACAAATTAAACTTACTTTAAGTCACCATGGACAAAACCTTTGTCATGCATATATTGTAGGCCATGTAGAATTTTTCTGACATTAAAACAGATAACAAAAATCCTGATACATTAATTATATACTGTGGTAAAGTAGAAATCACATACAATACAATTGAAGCAATTGTTGGATCACTAAGGTCTGAACCACTGCTCCAGATTTCAGATGTTGCACAGTGCAAGTCAGTCTCAATAAACTCATATTCAAAACAGAAATAAGGAGGATTGTCTATACAACCATATAGTTGTATCTGTTCAAATCAAGTTCAATGTGTGTGATTGTTTGCCAGAAATTTAAGAGAAGAAAATCAGTCTTACAATATTCTCATGTAATGAAGGATCTTTGGCAAACCAACGAACTAACTCGTATTCTTTCCTTCCTAACACTGGATCAACTACTTTCACTACTTTTGTGTACATGGCCCCTTTAATCCTTTTGTGTACTTGCTGTTACAATAAAAGGTGAACAGTTTACAAGTACAACCTATGTAGAAAGAGTTACCCAGACTTGTCCATTGGTTCCAGAGCCTATGAAACTGGCTTTCACTCCGTCATACCATAGATAACTATCTCTGTCAAACCGGATCTTGGGTTGTGCCATGTAGTATTCTACTTGTAGGCTCCCAAAGCGTTAAATAGCTGAGATGATCTGTACTCTCACTTTTTATATGTGTAGATTTGCCTCACTTCCATATATTTGTAATTGGCTCCAGCTATGCTCTTCAGCTAGACGGTTGCATGGCAAACCTCTGTATTTTAAATTTGAGCCATATAATTACATGCGTAGCGGACAATCGGAGAAGGATATACAAATAACTAGATGTGCAGTGGTCGTACATCGGATGGTGTCGATCATTACCAGTTTAGTAAAAAATATATGTGCAATGACGCGGGACAAGGGTGAGTCCAACTGTGAAGACCCATCCTGCACTTTACTCCGACGTACTCCACTGTCGTCTTTCTTTGCCTCTCTCTCTCTCTTTGTGTTTCTCTCTGCTTACTGCACAACTCTGCCCACCCGCATCTGAGCGGAGGTCGGGGCATCTCGGACGGGTATACTCGTGCAACACTTATCCGCTATGTTTCGTTCTGACCAACATGCGCTCGCTGTCGCAGCCTTGACCGCACTTGGTGAAGACCTCGTTGGCAGACGAGGGCGCGTTGTCATTATGCCCGATGCAGATACTGATGTAGCCATAAACCCACATGTGGACGTCGATGCGCGTGGTCACAGGAGGCGGCGGTCCCGCTCAAGGAGCTCGCGAAGGACGAGGAAGAGGAGGGGCTCTGTTTCGTCCAGGTCCTCGACACGCACAAATCGGACACTTTCGTCATGCTCTAGCACAAAGTCGCTTAGCAAAGCATCCAGGCGTTCGAAGACAGCAGAATCAAAAGCGAAATCAACGACTTCAAAGGCGGCTAGTGCGAAAGCAATGTCGATAGGTAGTGTAGCCAGTGCGTCGAGCCGAAGAAAGACGGTCGTAACAGTAGCGCCACACCCCAAGCCCGAAAAATACGTACCACCACCCCGTGGAACGTTTCGGTCCTCTTATACGCGCCATCTTCGTGCGGATGTTATTGGTGCGCTAGTTTCAGAACTTGAAGGTTTGCATATGCCGGAGTCTGTACCTTTGCTTACCGAGAAGTCAGCAGAGGCAGGACACCAGCAAGAACCTGGTTCTTCTTCCACACATTCGCAGAAGGAGGTCGCAATACGTCCACCACTGTCTCTCGTGTTAACGCGTCCTAACATCGGGCTCGAGGATCTACCAACCCTCGCGCTTGCGGAGTTCGACTTCTTTTCAGCGTCGCGTTCGAGGAATGCGCAGATCAGAGAGACAAGTGAGGTATGGGGCCGTAGCCCGGCTGCACCGTCGCCACCTGGTGTGCGTCGGTGGTTGAAAAATGCAAGACAGCCGCCTATTGGGACTGTTGAAGAGGTAGAGGAACGCTCATCGCAGAACTCTGGAGAAGGAGGGAGAAGCGAAGCAGACAGTAAATGAAATGATTCGAGGCATGAAACGTGCGTCCTTCTCTATTAATTCTTCTAGGACATACTGAGCTTTATCATATTTCCCATCTCATGAAGCATCCCCGGTTTTTTCGCCACCTTTTTCGTCTATCCCATAGCATATATTTATCGTCATCATGCTTTCCTAGTGCCTTTGGGTTTGGGGTTTAGGGCTTGCCTTCATGCACACGTTTCTGTCAGCAATTTTCGTATCCTAGGTTCATGCTGCACTGTTTTTCCTTTCTTACTCTCATTACCGCTGCTATCGTATACACGAACGCTACTTGCTCTCTGTCAATGTTGTTCATATATCCACGCATGCATATTGCTCTCCTATGCTGCTTACATAAATACCAGTATTTGTTTATTTTGTAATGTGAAGTCACGTGCACAAACTGACGTCGGTCGCAAGCGTCGGCTGTGCCCTCTTAGTTCAGCTGCGGTCACTTCTGGCGCCATCTCATGCGCTCCTCGTCGTCTGACATTTCTCCCACCAACTTGCCGCAATGCTTATACCAGTCCATGTTATAGCAAGAGATGAAAATGAAATGTCTAATATCACAGGACCGGTTGTCAATGACCATGGGGCACCAAGTGGAAGCCCCGCTGTTGCATTCGTCATTGGTGTTTCTATCGTTCTGCTTGCCTCCATCCTGAATGCTGGTGGACTCAACTTGACCAAACTGGACCATGTGAGCTGCTTTTATGCTTTACCTGAGGGAGGTATTTAATCCGAGCTTGACTTTCAGGTGCGCACAAGTGCAATACCGAAAGCATCAAGGCGGAAAGATTGGTTGAGGCCGTTATGGCTTCTAGGAATGATTCTTTACATGTGCGTAGTTTTATCTCACCGTATTCTGGATTAAGTTCTCATACCAAGGCGTCTAGATTGTCCCAATTAATTGGGAGTACGCTCGCACTTCGGTACTTGCGCGCGGAATACGTAGCACCGCTCGGCGCAACGTCGCTTATATTCAATTTCCTATTTGCGTCTCTATTGGTCGGCACTCCAGTCACAAATACAGACATTTACGTGCGTACTGGTGTTGCCTATTGATTACTTTGAATTCACTGACCCTGGGATTTTTGTTCCGTATTACAGGGCACGATCGTTGTCATCCTCGGTGTCGTCGGCATTGTTGCTTTCGGTTCTATAAATTCTGGTCTTGAAATGGGCATGGACCTCGAACTTCTTAAGACTCTTTGGGCTCGTGGTCAATGGCTTATGCTATTTGCCGTCATGACAACTGCGTTGACGCTCGTGTACATCTTTGCTGCTCAATTAGACCGTGTGCTCGCTGCGCGAGCGGACATCAGTGCTGTTCCGTTTGCAGCACAACTGAATAGACAAGAAGGAAGAGTACTTCTACCTCAAACGCCTTGGTGGAAGCGCGTAGTGGTACGGTGGCAAGATATGATGGGTTGGGTCGCGGAACGACTGGAAACATGGACGGCAGCAAAGGACGATAAGACACTTGCATGGACACTCGGAATTGCGTGGGCATGTTGTGGAGGTGGACTTGCTGGTGGATGCCTTGTCTTTGCACGGACATCCGTGCAACTTCTGTCGTACGCGTCCACTCAACCTCACCCCGGTTCGCAGTTTGCACACATCGCACCTGTGGCAACCTTCATATTCCTCGCAGTGACGGCCGTATTCCAGATCATATGCCTTAATCGTGGGTTACGAGTGTTTGACAGCACACTCGTCGTTCCTGTCTTTTATGGCGTCTACACGGGAACAGGCGCGCTTGATTCTCTTATTTTCAATGCCGAGGTCGAGAAGTATCATACCTGGACGCTCATACTTATATTTTTATCGATTATGATTTTGGTCTCTGGTGTTGTGTTGCTCACGCACAAGAAACCTGAACCTGGATCAGGACCTCGCGGTACTGGACACGTACCACTCGGCGCAATTCCTGCTTCACGTAAGGCGAAGGGCGGAGCTAACGCTGATATCGAGGATGCATCACCGCACGAATCAGAGGCTTTACACAACGAAGGAGATAACAGTCCTGTGGTTTGGGAAGTCGGCGCCGCGAGCGATGATGAGGAAGACGATGCGACAGTGCACGAGGCTGAACAAAGTCCGAAGGATGGAAGACCTGCGAAGACTGGTTTAGCTGGGAGTATGCCCGGGGAGGAAGGCAGAGGACTTATACGGCATGGGGAAGAAGACCATGATGCAGAGGATTGGTGAATGCTTAATGCACGGGACGGATAAGACTTGGATTAAATTAATGGATGGAAGGGAATCATATAATCATTAGCGATTTTGCTTTGGTGCCTTCCCTTACTTTTTTTATGATACACAGGAACTTACATTGGCATAGATGCAATGCTTGTTCTACGACACATCTACGTTACATTTTTTATACCTCCACAATAGAGCGACCTTAATAACCAATCTCAGCACGTTTCGTGATGCATATATTATAAGCTTGAGTTTGGATCTACACGCCCTTAGTGGCGTTCTGAACAAACCGTCGGACTCAGTGGTAAGCAAATAATCCTGGACAATTTCGACCCTCGAAGCATCGGGTGGTGGCCAGAAGCAGACTTCGCATTTTTAGTCGGAGATTAGCGACGCGTCGAGAAGCTAGGCATTGGTCTGACGTAAGGTCGGACTTTGAACTTTATCATTCTACCAGTTCCAGAACTGTTGGAGATTTCCAGACCAAAGCATTCGTTCTGCTTCAGCTCAGGCCTTCTCCTCACCACATCCTTCCAGATGTCGTACAGACGAAAGGCACCGCCTCCCTTGCCGTCTCCCCGTAAATATGAGAAGATAGTACGCGTTGTAACGGGTGCTGAAGAGCATCGGGTCGTTATGTTCTGCGAGGAGAGTGGCACAGTGTAAGTGCAGTTCGATTGCGAAAAAAATAATTCGTTTCTGACACTGTTTTTATCCAGGGAACGCGTAACTGTGTTGCACAGGTTCAAAGATGATAGAAAGAACGCATTCTTCATTCAGTTTCAGAAGCTTGCGAGCGTGGCAAAGTGTAAGCTACTGGCCAAGTCGGCGAAGCTGGGTGGGTATCCTGTTCAAGTGGACTCAGTCGCAGGCTCTCCTCTCCTGCAAGAGCAATACAAGCAGTTATGTCAGGTTGCAAGCCCCAAAGCTCAATATGCAGCGTCTCCACTAAAACGTAGGCGTTTCTCCTCTGCAACAAACAGGGAAAATCGTGGACTCGGTTTGATTAGGCGTCTGTCTGCTCCCTCATCTGTTCTTTGTGATCCTTGCGCTACTCTACGCGCAATTAGGACTCCGACTTCCTTGTCCAATAAGGACAACACTGGCTATTCTACATCTTTAGGTCGCATGTCTGCTCCGCCTATGTTCCAGGAATCCCCACATGCCGGAAATCGCGCGTGGAGAGCTAACACTCCTTCAATTCGACAGCTTAATCATCCGGACCTACGACAGGCGGTCACATCAAAGACTGTCAATTTCAGACTGCGAGCGTTGTCTACTGCGACGACAACGTCTGTTTCTACCCAGAAACTTCCGAGTCCACTTGCGAGGAGCACGTCCCTATTGAGACAAAGCGCTAGAGTAGCGGATGTCTTTCATCCAGTTCGCTCTCAGAGCGCCAGCCCCCCGGTTTCTCATGCTTGGAGTTCCTCAAGTGTTAGGCGCCACTCTGTCCTTGCGGGTATTGCGGAGAACAAGCCTGGCCCAATCCTTAAGAACTCGTCGGCAATGAGGCAAGATGTAATGAACGCTGCACGCTCCGTCCGCTCCTCCAGTGCCAGTCCCTCTGTATCTCGTAGTTGGAGCATCCCAGTCACAATGCACCAGTCAATTTTCTCGGAACGCACCCCTTCCTTCATCGACAATGGGAATGACACTAGCGTGATCTACAGTTCACCGGAAATACTGCCAAGTGGTACAATAGCGGCGGTGGCTTCTGCTTCGCCGTCATCGTTAACTAGAATGGATGTGATCAAGGAGGAATTGGCGTCTGCGAAAAAGAGATACGCTAAGACAGTTGAGAAGATCCACAAGCATTACGCTCTGGTTGATTGGAAGTACGAACGTCGTGGAACCCCTCGCAATAGTTTAGGCGGTACTCCATTGAGCGCGAAGGGACCACCGGCTTCATATCAAGCTCAACGTTCTAGTTAACATTCTGAAGGACTTTAGAGACGTGCTTGTTATATTACTATGCCACTCTTCTTTCGCTTTACTAGACTTTAGAGCATTCGTCCTCTTGGAGTTCTGTTCAGCAATTCTCTTGTATCCGAACATAGACGTGTATTAAATTAGTCGTTCAGCAAAGTATTATTGTCAGTAGATACGGGCGATGACTTAGATCGTTCTACACGTATATACATTGTGGATTCGTCGAGACTATTCCCCTCTCCCCAAAGCTGTCTTCCGTGTATTTTAAATATGATTTTCGAATATCGTCTGTGCACCTTTCTATTATCTGAAAGGGATTAACACTCCTTGTTGAACGTAATGCTTACCTCTGATCATGGCGCAAAATAACTCCTTGGACATCCTTAGTCAAAAGATGACTACATTAGCTATGCGGACCAGCTCAACTAAGTTGACTACGGCATCAATGCGGTGTATATCAAAGTGATCTTTATATGTAAACTGAGGTGGATACGTATGTTGTGTCGTTCGGGGTTAGTATGCGGCGTGCGGCGTCGTGGCGTACTAAGGATAAGAGTCGTCGCGTGGTTGATCCATTGAAGAGTTGATTGCCGTGAAACAAGGGGAGAGCGTTTCAGGATGATGTGCATACGCGCTGACCAGTATGGGTCAAGAAAACTGGCGAAGAGGAGTTATGTTGTGGAATTACAGGAACGTGAGTTTATTCCCTTTTTTTCGATTGTTATGAAATTGTTGGATTGAAAGTTAATTGTTGACAAAATGGGGTGTTTATTTTTAACAGTTCTGAGGGATACTATACATCCGAGGTGTTATGTACATGCGATTTACAATGATTTCGGGAGGCCTTACATATTAAGTGCGTACATCCGACGTCCCCCAAGTCTAGAGAGAGACATTTGCTGATTACCCTTCCTTTCAATAGTTGACGTACCAGTTCCTTCTGCGAACGGTCAACCATTCTCAAGGTTCGTATATCAAAAAGGGAGGACGCATGAGCAAATTGCAAGAGGGATATATAAAGTTGTCGAAAAGTACCCTGGAAGCTTCTTGCCGAGCATTTATAGCAGTGAGGATTTCTTCGAGAAGTGGCCTGGGTGGGTACAATGGTAATTTGGAGGAAAGCTTCGACAGTCGGTTCCATGAGACATTTACGAATCCTACTTAGAAAAAAGTTATACGCATTTGTATCAATGTAGCCACGATAATTGTTTTGCACAGCTGCGTAGAATCAATTACAACGAAACGAAGGGGGATAATGTGTACCACTGTTTATGCCTATTTATTTGATAATGTAATGTAAGCTTCAGAAGCGTGTAATATTTATGCCTATTCTGGCATGTCGCGGAACAGAAAGCACCGCTAGTGCCGCAAGCGTTCGTGGACAACGAGCGCAACGATGGCGACGAAGAAAGCAGCGGACCATACGCTGTACCACCTAGCACCGCGAGGATTTTGGAAGAGGTTTCGCGATGCGGTCGTCGTAAACCCCGAGATTTCCAGTGGTTTGCCACTGCCTGACAAGAACAGGTATCCCCAGCCTGCTTCGCGTCCTGAGAGGTACGCGACGCCAGCAACGAAAGGTGAGTACAAAATATCTGTATCGTAGCTTGGAAGGTATATGACGATGCTAATCACCGCGTACAGCGTCTGATCCAGCGCAGAACCCGTACTGGAAGCGCGACGTACGCCGCGCGTACCCTCAGCTATCAGTCGTTACTCAGGAGGAGCTCGCTACTTTCCTCTTGCAAAAGCCCGAACAACCAGCGTTCGTGCCATTTTAATTCACAGACAAACATTTTGACTAACAATTACTTATGAATCCAGCGTCGACGCTCCAACAGAGGGCCAGCAACAGCCAGCAACCTCAGCGGAAGGCGCTTCTGTACCTGCGACGCGTGCACCCGCTGTCGACCTCACCGCGGCGATAGCAACAATAACGGATGCTCGGAAAGCTTACTCCGAATCACGCCTTCCACCAACACCACCAATTGCACATAGAAGATGGAGACCGCAGGACGCGCCGGATGCACCGCATGACCCTCATGCGTATTTCCCGATGTCATTGGTCAAGTAGGTAGATGCCAAGATTTAACCGGTTAATCATTGGTAGAAGGTGCGGCCGCTACAAATGATAATTGCAATATACCGTGATGAATGCACAGACGAGAAGTTGAGGTTTTAAGCATGGTATGTGTATCGGAACCGAGGTTGTTGGCTGCCAGTCAACCGTCTGCGAAATCACTAAATTCAATTTCATTATCTTCCCTGCCATTGGACACGCATATGCCTCAAGGAAAACACATTTTGCTTTTCCATTCTTCGCTCGGCTCAAGAACTTGTAGTCAAGACTTGGCATGCTGTTTCTTTCGGATTTCTGCTTGCCATTCGAGCTGCTTATCTTGTCACGTGAGTGCTAACGTGTCAATTTACCTAGGGAGATTCTGACCAGCGACCATGATGCGTACCGAGTTCCGATCTCAAACGGGCAAGACTAACTTGTGCCAATGGAATTTTACAGAAGAAACGGGGAATATGTATAAACAAGAAGCGACGACAGCACAGAAATGACCAAAGCGCTTTGTTCTTACCACGCAGGATCACGTCATCTCGACACCATCGACGAATAACGTATTTCTCGCATCATTAGGCGCACTCATTCGCCACTCAGAACCAGCATTTTTTCGCTCTGTTAAAGGCAGATCCCATCCCTATTGGGTTGTACTCGGGGATTTCCCGTTGTCGTTCGTGCTTCCTGCGGACCATGGCGACATCTTGTGGCTGATGCAATTACTGGAACTGACTCCCCTTCCCCGCCTTCTCTTGTTGCTTGAAGTACTTAACGACCCTCGCGTGCTCTTCTTTCCCCTCAAGTCTCGCCAGTTTTCTTCCGCCGAGGAACTCGTCAGCTTTCTGGACTAGAAATGTCTGCTGCTCCTGCTCTTTTATCTGGTGTTTTCGTGTCTACTAGAGAGAAATCGCCTCATGCGAAGTTCTCCACTCCTGATCATCCCTCTGCACAGTTACTAGAAAAGCTTCGTTTAGAGAAGCAGCAGGACGATGGTCTACAGCCCACCAACCCCCCACCATATACCCAGCGCGACCCACATGAACAACCGACATTCACATCGGAGTCACTCATCCATCCCGAGCATCCCGTCCTCTATCTCCCACCACTCATCTCATCCCTGCCACAAAACGCACAACGCCCCGACGTTTCCGTGTCTTCTCCGGACAACAAGCCTCCCGCAGTCCTAACGACCACAACTCGTCTTCCAGAGATCGACCCCGTATCCCTTTCTCTTCACCGCGCACTGCACTACTTCAGGCCCCTTGATGACAAATACGCCAGCAAGCCGTACGAAAGTGCGTTCAATTGGAGCGAACTGCGGCTTCCTGAGGATGAGGAGCGCGAGTGGTATTGCGTGGCTTTCCGGTCGCGTCGGAAGGAAGGAAGCAATGGTGATGGTACGTACATGCAATTCTTCTGCTCATTATTAAATTATATTAGCTTTTTTTCTCTGTTGTCCTTTTAATTCCTTTATTCGCTTCTTTCGCTCATCTGGGTGATACCACGGCTAAACTAACTTCATCGTTATCTTTCACAGCGCTCTACGAAGCGGATCGAAAGGCCCACGAAGAAGCGGTGCAGAACGGTGGTGTACGTCATACTTCCCACTGTTCGAGTCTAAAATACATCTCATTTACTTTCTGGCGTTGCTATTTACGCAGCTTCTTATGTACTGGTTCGGCGTTCCCGACCCCGTCACGGGCCTCAATCTTGCAACGTGCATCTGGCAATCTCGTGCACACGCCGCAGCTGCGAACTCGCGTCCGGACCATATTCGCGCTATGCGCCTCGCGAAAGACTCGTACGAGGTGTATACGCTTGAAAGGCACGTTTTGCGCAAACGCCGTGGGTCGACTGGTGTCGTGGTTGAGGAGTACACAGGTGGTGAGGCTGGCTGGTGATTAGAAATGTAGATTTTTCGCTTTCGTTTTTCTTTTTGCGCTGTTGTGCAATTTTGGAACCGGGGCTTTCTCGGTCTACGTGCTGTTCACCATTGGTATCATCCTATACCTTGCCAATAGTAAATTATACCGTATTAGACATACAATGCTATTCCATGTAACAAACGCTTTGAAATTGAATATAATCGCATGGCCATCACGTCTCCCAATCCTCTATCGAATCGTCTGAAATCTGGGATGGATTGATGTTCCAGATGGCCTCGTCTTCGTCCTTATTCCCATTTAATTTTTCGGACGATCGAGACGTGTCAGCCTATACTTCTAGTTTAGTCCATAGCACGCAAACGTGTTGGAAAATAGAAAACTCACACCCATGGTGCATTCCTCTTCACTCTCCGCATCGCGAATAGGCGACAAATAGACGCCACGGACAGGAGCAAATGCACGTCGTGGTTTGCGTGGTTTGCGTGGTTCTGGCTTCGTATTTGATGTGGGTGCCTTAGGCTTTTCATGTAGGCGCTCTTTCACCAGCGTTGATTCCGGAGCTTGAGTCACCTTGTTAACTTCCATAACATTGCGCGGATCCACGTTCTGGAGCTTTGGCCGAGGCGGGGTACGAGGCATAGCAGAAGCGCTATGAAGATCGGTCCGAATAGCGATATGAACAGGAGATGGAAGACGGTCGAGGCGTAGGTCCGGGGATGCTTCGATTGCTTGATCGTCCTTTGTGGTCACGGTCTTCCTGGAACGAGAAGAGTGTGCTGGCTTGAACCTAATGTAAGGCGGGGAAGAGAAGACTTCGATTGGTGCGACTTGAGCACCGGACTTGGCGGCGTGTTGCAAAAAGTTCTGCGAATTTTTTTCACGCGAGCCAGAGTTCGAGCTATTATTGAGAGTCTCAACAGCGTCTAAGGTGATTTCTTGACTAGTGTCTCCCTGAGCCAAGTCAATTTTCGAGCCAGCCGGCGGCGTACGCATGCCTTTAAGCATCTCGGAATGTTCCCTTTCGATAAAGCGTATCATCTTCTGTGCTTGGATTTGGTCCTCGTCAGAAGCCAATTGCCCTATTTCTAATTCAATGTTGTTCAGTTGCATGTCCGGATTAGGGATCAAGGGATCTTCGACTGCTAGCGCTTGTGATTGTTGCTCGTTAGAAAATAGTTGGCCTAGCTCCAGTTCCATGCCGTCGTTTGATTGTTCGTGAAGCAAAGGAGGTAAGCGATCTTTATCCGGAGTGTCGAAGTACTGGAGCGGTGAAGCGTACAAAGCAGGTCCTGGCGTGGAGAATGGCTCTTCCGGATAGTTACCAGCAGACGAGGTAAAGGATAAGACAGAAAAAGTAGCGTCTTCTTCATTTGTCCCGTCAGCTATGTTATATTTGCCATCAGTCAAAGCGTAGTCGGCGGGAGTCGAAGAGTCAGAAACGGAATAGCTTGAATTAGTGAAAGGAAAGAAAGATGTTGGTCCAGGAGTACTGAACGGTTTATAGCGAGCTTGATGCTGTTCCGCCCGGTTGAGGGAGGGACTGCCTGAGTAGTGCAAGGAGTGCCTAGAAGAATGGTTTGATCCACGATCCGGCGTCAAAAAGTGGACAGTCTTTTGCACAAAAGGGCCCGGTTCAGCAAAGGGAACAAAATTTCCAGCAGCCAAGTTCATAGTGCTGTCAAAGAGAACGTCATCCGGGGTAAGTTCGAGGTCAGCACGGCCTTTGTAAGCGTGTAGAGACGTTGCTTGCTCTCGAGCAGCATAGTTCGGATATTCAGCGAAGAGCAGAGATTTTGGTAGCCTTTCCTCTGCAGGAGATACGGACCGCAGGTGATCCTGCACTACAGAGACATCAGGAGGTAGAAATGCGAATATCGTTCCGTTGTGAACTTCTTCTGGGCGAGACGCTTTTTGGGAAGCTGGAGCATCTTCAAAGACGTATGAGGTAGTTTCGTCTTCAGTAAAGCTTGAGTGGATGGGAAGTGCGAGTGCATGGAGTGGATGGTCTGGTTCTAGGGTGGAAAACGTTTGTGATAACCATTCTGGAAGCTCGCGTGGGCGAGGCTAAATTATGCCATCAGCGATAATTTCCCGGACGATAATCCTAAAAAAGATCTATGTTTACCTCTTTCTCGCTCTCTTCAAGACGTCCAGAATCCGTCCAAGATGGTAAGTCCTTGTTCGTCAAGAAATCTGGGCGATTTCGTTTCTTAGAATCGTTTGTCCTGATAATAGTAAATCCATCTCCTAGATTATTACTCCTTACTGTGTTATGAATAACGTCAATTGGGGTTTGTGGTGGTTCAGTACTGAGCGTTGACGCAGCGGAGACGACAGAAGGATTACGCGGTCGCTTGGTAATAGAAGTTGAGAACTCTCCAATGAATGATGTATTGAGTCGCAGGAGCATCTTGTTCATGCGACCGTTGAGGCCATCCGATTTCTTCCGATTTCTGGGCCTATTCACGAATAACTGGGCCCCGGATGCGTCGTCCGATCCGCTTGAGTGGCGAAAGTGCAGAGATGATGCACTATCACAACTTTTCGTCAGAAAATATGTATGAATAACACGTGAAAGAACGCACTGGTATCCTACTTCTCTGCCTATTCCCACCTCCGATGAAGATATGTTGCGAACAGGCATGCCTTGCTCAACATCAATGCTAAATTTCGGACGTGAAGGCTCGAAGCACGGAGATTTTTCGTCTGGGACTCTGGGGCGCATATCATGTGATTAGCGCATTGTTTTCGTGAATGTATTACATAATATTTTCGCAATTGTGGGAGTTATTGGGCAATTTGAGGAGGCGAGATTGTCGCTGTGCTTTGAGGACTTCAACCGTCAGACGGTAGTATTTGATTCTTGTCAATGGCCTACTTAGTACTTTGGACGGCTTCATGGTGTGCAAGCGGTTCCTCACATTGATATCCACGTCCTAGGTCATGAGGCTCTCCCGCTAAATGGCCGGCTGGTCAATAGCCTGGTGATTACCTATCGTGACTTTCATATTGTCGCTTTTTCATCAGACGATGTCGACGCTCAAGCAATAATTCTATTCGACGTTCCTCACGTCTGTCTTACATGACCAATCTGCGTAGCACTCTTCAGCATCGGAACCACTCCGCATTTTACTTACATCGCCACGTTCCTCATATCTTTCAGAGGGTTTCAATGTTTTCATTTCGTATTCCTTCCTTGGATCAATTGGCCAATCGGGCTACGCATTTTTCCTTCTTGTATAAATTTGTAGCGATACCTTTGTGTCCAAAAAGAGCGGTTCCGGGGATGAATGCTGTTCGCAATCAATCTATCGCAGCGCATTGCTTAAACGTTAGCAGACTGTTAGCTATGCTCTGAGAGTATCTCAACTAGTACTCGTCGTCACTGGCTGTCCTTGTGCTCGGATATAATAATTTTGCTTTGGAGGGAGGGATGATATTTCCTCACCCACCGCACTACGAAGTCTTTCCCACATTTATCATACATTCTTCACCCACGAGAAATATCTATATGACAAGGATGGCGACAGTGTGAAGTTGAGAAACAGCGCACAAGGATGAGGAGAGTTAAGGACTAAAAAGAAACTCATCAACGAAGTATCTCGCGAAACGTCATGTCATGTGATTGTTGCGTGATGAAGGTCACACAGTCAGCCTCCACTTGTGCCACCCTTATAAACGCATCTCTGTTGTTGAACACTCCTTCTCACAAACCACGACCTCGTCAGCCTCGGCCTGAAACTAGACACGCATAAAAATTATAGCTCGCATAACGACAACTCCTTGATATCTCGTTCTTAGACACGACTTAACACAGATCCTCTACTTTCTTTTACGATGAACAAGTTCCTCGGTCTTTACATGGCTTTCGCCGTCTTCCTTGCCTCTTCCGTGTCTGCTATACCTCAAGACCATCTCGCGCCAGCTGTCGAGTCAAACCATGTATCGAACATTCACTACGGACGAAACGATCCGAAAATACCTCTAAGTGCCGCTGCCGTCAAAGTTCATGGGAGGGAAATAGGCATTAAGCCACCCAACCCACCCGCTTTTCCACGTGCACCCCCACTTCAAACTGCGGCTATGCAAGGCGAAAAAGTCGTCGAGTCCGTTCCGGCGCACGTTCCGAGACAGGTTCATAATGCGGATTACGGCTCGAACGGTGGCCCAACTGGTAACCCTAAGACTACGCAACAGACTTCAACTTCATCCCCTACCAGTACTACTACAGCTAGTGAATCTAAGGAGACAGGCGACTCGTCGGAGGGAAAGAAGCGCCGCACCCTCAATCCGCACCCTACCCAGGACATCAACTACATTGCCAACTAGATGATTCGAGCTTTACTTGTATGCTGTACCCTTACTAGTGCTACGTATCTGGTGTTTTTTATGAGCCTCAACGACTGTCTCTCGTATACTCTGGCATAGACTCTGTTCGGATATGCACATCACCCTCATTGGAATGTTTCTGTACTATTACGAAGACGAGCTACTGTACTCTTTACAACAGGGCTTGTTATCTATACATTATGATAGACTTGTGTTGTACTCTTCGAACTGTGTACGATCAAATTCTATGTCTAGCGGCTCAGGTTGAGATGATATTGACTGTTGGAAAGACTGTTCCTTGCAAGTGTTCGTGTGATCTTCCTATGGAGCGGTCGAGAACGTCTGAGACGCGGGAAATTAGTCATGAGGTCTAGATGTCAATAGTATTTCAGCAATTCGGAATCCGGTATTGGCCACGTCCTCTGGCGCAATGCATATAACCACTATTTTTCTGCCTCTGATCGCAGGCTCCGCGTGCAACATATTCACTAAGATACACAATAAAGAACCGCTATGCTGTACGTCATGCGGACCTGTGGCCGACCAGATGAATATCAGCACGTAAATATCAATGCATCAGACTGTTCAAGTATTTCGGGATATAACAGTCTATTATACATTAAACATTTCGTACGCACAAGATACGCCAAAGACTAGCTTACGAAAGTCATCACCCATAAAGCGTCTGATCATGCGGCGTTCCGAACAACCCCACGCTCCAACTTGGGGGTTGTCTCCACTGCTCGACTTGCAGTTTCAGTATCCTCGCGACGACGCCTGCGAAGAACTCTGCGTCTGCGCGGTTGTCGCCTTCGAGTACGAATTGGAGTATCGCTGCGCTTGGGATGGGCTTTTTGTTGGATTTTGAGATGGATGAAGGTGAAGATGAGAGGGCGAGGAGACGGCGTGTGAGTCCTCCACCCGGGATGAACGGTATTGATGGAGACGGAGTTGGGGAACGTTCGGAGGACTCGAATTTGTATGTTGGGAGTTGCTTGATGAGGGAGATGGGTGAGGTGTCTAGAGCTGGAGAGTTGGCTGCGCTGAACATGTATGTTGGTGATCTGTTGTCGATGTAATCAGTCGTAATGTATTAGCATAGAGTTTCGTTTGTTTTGGGTGGAGATGATTACGTACAGCATTTGAGCGTCACTTCTGTTTGTTAAGTCTACGCCTGTGAGGTAAAGCACCGCACCGATGTTGTTCTCTTGGATGAATGCGAGAAGCGAGGTGGAGAATGCAGCTTTGCGGGACTATACGAATATGGCTTGTTATTTAGCATGACGTCGAACCCAACAGAGATAGGATGGACAGACCTTAAGTACAGGGGATCTCTGCTGTATCACTAAGATATCCTTCCCATCCTTCCCATACACTGCATACGCGTCAGTTACAGTTAGCATGTATGAACTAGCATCCGAAAAGATACCAAGCTAACACACGCACGTTCCAAAGGCGTCGATACACCCGCTCCATCTTCTCGCGCACCAATAACAGGAACGAGGTCCTGCGGATCGAATACGCCAATTTGTTCAAGCTCAAATGTGGAGATGAGTAGGTCTGCGGCGAGCTGGGAGACGTTCCCGACTGAGACTACGGGCTGGAGTGAATCGTCAAACAGTAAACGGTTTAGCATACAGTTGGGAATGTTGCGAAGGACTGTATGCGTACAACAATAAGTGTTTTAGAAGTTAGGGATATTGACGGATTTGTTGGATAGTAGAACGTCATTTCGAGAACTCAGGCAGGAGTAGGTATTGTGGAATGGTCTTCATCTCATCGCCAACCCGCGTCAAGGACGCGTATGCATCACGTGAGACAGATGTCGCCAATTGATACCAGTATAGGTACAAATATGAATATAGTAGATAGTGTGAAAGGTTAGGGTTATAGGGTCAAAAGGGGAATAATCACTATAAAGGGCTATTGTCTTCGTCTCGTCTAAACAGGTAATCTATAAGCCATGTATTTCTTCATCCGATGCTCAATCAAATACTAAATCATGGTAAAATCCCCTAAATAAGACGTTGAGCATTTTGTCAAAGAAACAGAACTATTTCACTTCTGTAATGGCACCGATATTACAGTTTAAACAGGAGATGGACACTATGAGACATAATTGTAAAGAAAACATGAAGATAGGGATTATAAAATATAAAATCAAGAGCGTTTTAAGCGCCTATATGCACAAGATTGACCCATCGTTCAGTCGAAATCCCATCCTTCGCTTTCAACTCCAAAGCCGCCTTGCGAAGTCCTGCAGCTGCCCTCTTATATTTCGCCTCGCCCGGTTCGCATTCGTTCATGTATTCATAAACAGTCTTAGCGAATGCAGGCCCATCCTCATCGAGTAGTTCCCACATCGAACCAATCACACTTCGAAATCCAGAGAATTGCATGGCCGCTGCGAGGTGGAGGACTTCGTCGTGCGCACCGTCGTGAGGTTGTTCAGCAGTATGGCATGCAGAAAGGAATGCAAACTCTGCATTCGGGAGGTTAGTTTGGACAATATCTAGTAATGTCAGCTCGCCATCCGATAGCTTGAATGAAGAGTATAAAGGCTCTTGGCGTAAATTTCCATGACAAACAAAGTGAACCCATTTTTCTTCCCGGAGGGCATCGACCACTGCACCACGAGATGCCTTCTTACTGGCAAGTAGCTTGGTACTCTTCCCACAATTTCGGATATTTCTAATCTCCTGCCTAGCTGACCGAAGAGATGTATCCCCAACTATAAGTACAGTGGATTCATCTTCGCTGGCACCTGATCGTGCGTTGATGAGGGCTCCGAGTGTCGGAATATATGAAGAGATATAATCGTCCAATAGATATTTCGGCGCCCCATCGGCGTCTTCAAATGGTCCTGCAGCATGGAAAGGAAGCATGGATAAAATTGAAGTTGGGCACCACCAAATGCGACTTCCTTCGGCAATTTTGTGCTCCTTCAGTTTGACAACAACTTTGGAGACGACTCTGTCCCATAGCATCTTCATCGCCTCCTGGAGTTTCCTATCATACTCTGGTGAATCAGCTCCGACCCGTCGGCGCGTTTCCAAGAGCGCGTCACATAGCTTAATACTATCCCAATAGAATTCTCCATCTAACGGAACACAGTCAACTGATGAAGCGCCCTGGGTTAGGATGATGAGAGCATCAGAACGATATCTACAATGGTTGACCATGATGACGGGCCCTTCCAGGGCTACTTGCTGCAGTTGTTTAAACGGTGTGGCTTCAAGGAAGTTTTCGAATCCTGGAAATTGCCGAATCTCGCGGATTATCTCCTCTTGCTTGCTTGAAAGCCGTTTCTTTAATTTCAACAGCTCGTCAAACAATTTCGGCTCTGTTCCCATGTTTAGAGCAAGTGATCCGTCTTTGTTGGTGACTGAACCAGACGTCAACATTTCGTGTGATGTTGTAAGATTTTCCAGCCGATGACTGACACCCCTGAATCTGTCAACAAGTTCTTTGTTCGTTTCTGCAAGTTGATCCAGAGGAGCCCTGAAGCCGCGCAACTGTGACCAGAGCAACCCTCTTCCTTGCTCAAGTATCTCTATGGCCTGCTCTAATTTATTTGTATCTGCTGAGTAAGAAGCCGCCTCCAAGATGAGTATTCTGTAATTACTGCGACTGAGAAGGAAGTCATGTTGTGCATGGAGGGTTGGGCTTATATTTAGAGCGTATTGAAGTAGTGATAGAGTCGCCTTGTAAGCTGTGAAGGTGGTGGTATGGTTATGCAAGCGTGCAAGATTTGCCCATTTGCGGGCAGCAAGCAGACATTCCAATACCCCCGAAAATGTATGAGTAGCAGCAAGCTCCAACAATTGCATACACTCTTCGAACTCTTCCGCATGCCATTGTTGCCTGATTCGAGCATATAAGCAAGTGACCAGGTTCCTCAACGCCTTAGAACGAAGCGGGTGGCCTATAGAGTGAAGCTCCTGGGAAGACCGATGTAACTTGATTGCTGCCTCAAGATCCTCAGTCCTTCTGTGCTGCTCGAATCGAACACTCAGCGACACTGCAAGGTTGTATAGAGAAATTGAGTGATCAGGATGGCCTTCGGGACAAAGCTCCAGAGCAGCTTGGTGCCGCTTAATCGCCTCATCAAGGACTTCGGTCCTCTCATGCTGCTCAAATAGATGGCATAAGGAATTTCCGAGATTTCTTAGGATCGAAGAACGATCAAGATACCCGTCAGGTACAAGCGCCAGAGCAGCTCGATGTAGCTCAACTGTTTCCTCAAGGTCCCTTATCTTTCCCTGATGACCAAATCGCGTGTGTAGCGAAATTGCAAGGTTGCCTAAAGACATAGAACGATCAGGATGGACTTCCGGACGAAGCTCCAGAGCGGTTCGCTCTAGCTTGATTGTCTCATCCAAGTCCTCGGTGCTCCCATGCTGCTCAAATCGAGTATGTAGTGCAGTTGCAAGACGATTCAGTGATGTAGCACGAAAAGGATGTCCCTCCGGTAGAAGAAGTAGAGTAGCTCGGTGACAATCAACCGCTTCTTCAAGGTCCTCAGCCTTTCCTTGTTGACCAAATCGAGTGTGCAAGGAATTCGCGAGGGTGCTCAGAGATATAAAACGATCAGGATGACCTTCAGGGAGAAGCTCCAGAGCGCTTCTGAGCAGCCTAATAGCTTCCTCAATGTCCTCGGTTCGTCCATACTGCAAGAATTGGAGTCTCAGACAACATGCAAGGTCACTTAGAGACATAGAACGATCAGGACGAGTGTCGGGGAGAAGCTTCATGCTGGCTCGATGCAACTCGATGGCCTCCTTGAGGCCTTGGATCTGTCCATCCTGCAAGAAGCGCACGCGCAGGGATACTGCAAGCTCGTTCAGAGGGGAAGAACGATCAGGATGACTGTCGGGAAGAAGCTCTAGAGCTCTTCGGAGCAGCCTAATAGCTTCCTCAATGTCCTCAGTTCGTCCATACTGTAAGAATTGGATTCTCAGACAACATGCAAGGTCGCTTAGAGACGTCGAACGATCAGGATGGGTGTCGGGGAGAAGTTTCATGCCAGCTTGATGCAGCGCAATGGCCTCTTTAAGGTCTTCTATCCGTCCATCCTTCGAGAAGCGCACACGCAGGGATACTGCAAGCTCGTTCAGAGAAGAAGAACGATCAGGATGGACGTCAGGAAGAAGCTTGATGTTAGCTTGATGCAACTTGATAGCCTCTTTGAGGTCTTTGACCCGTCCATCGTGCAAGAAGCGTATGCGCAGAGATACTGCAAGCTCGTTCAGGGACACATATCGAAGACGATGGCCTTCCGGACGAAGCTCCAGAGCTCTTCGGAGTAGCCTAATAGCTTCCTCAATGTCCTCAGTTCGTCCATACTGCGAGAATTGGATTCTCAAACAACATGCAAGGTTGCTTAGAGTTATAGAACGATTAGGATGGGTGTTGGGGAGAAGCTTCAGGGTGGCTTTATGCAACTCGATGGCCTCCTTGAGGTCTTCGATCCGTCCATCCTGCAAGAAGTGCATGCGCAGAGAAACTGCGAGCTCGTTCACGGACACATAGCGAAGATGATGGCCTTCCGGACGAAGCTCCAGAGCGCTTCGGAGCAGCCTAATAGCTTCCTCAATGTCCTCAGTTCGTCCGTTCTGTGAGAATTGGGTTCTCAGACAACATGCAAGGTCACTTAGAGATATCGAACGATCAGGATGGCCATCGGGGAGAAGCTTCATGCCGGTTTGATGCAGTGCGATGGCCTCTTTGAGGTCTTCGACCTGTCCATCCTGCGAGAAGCGCGTGCGCAGAGATACTGCAAGCTCATTCAGGGACAAGTGACGAAGACGATGGCCTTCCGGACGAAACTCCAGAGCGCTTCGGAGCAGTCCAATAGCTTCCTCAATGTCCTCAGTCCGTCCACACTGCAAGAATTGGAATCTCAGGCAGCATGCAAGGTTGTTAAAAGATACAGAACGATCAGGATGAACGTCGGGGTGAAGCATAAGAGAGGCTCGGTGCAACTCGATGGCTTCCTTGAGGTCTTCGATCCTTCCATCCTGCGAGTACCGTAGGCGCAGAGAAATTGCAAGTTCGTTCAGAGACACACAGTGAAGACGATGGCCATAAGGACGAAGTTCCAGAGCGGCTCGGTGCAGCTTGACAGCTTCCTCGACATCCTCAGTCCATCCATACTGGCAGAACTGAATTCTCAGGCAGCACGCGAGGTCACTCATAGACATAGGACGATCAGGATGGACGTCGGGGAGAAGCTTCAGAGCGGTTTGGTGCAGCTCTATGGCGTCATTTATGTCTTCGATCCGTCCACATTGTGAGAACCGTGTGCGCAGAGAAACTGCAAACCGGTTCAGAGATATAGAACGAAAAGGATGGCCTTCGGGGTGAAGCTCCAGAACGGCTCGCTCTAAATTGACCACTTCCTCAAGATCCTCACTCCGCCCATTCAGTGAGAATCGAATATGGATGGCAGCTGCAAGGTTGGCCAGAGATACAGAACGATCGGTATGACCTTCGGGACGAAATTCGAGGGCGGCTCGGTTCAACTGTATCGCCTCCTCGAGGTCCTCAGGACTTCCATACTCCAAGAACCGTATGCGCAGGGAAACCGCAAGATTGTCCAGTGACATGGAACGAAGAGGATGGCCTTTAGGGCGGAGCTCCAGAGCAGCTCGGTCAAACACGAAAGCTTCTTCAATGTCCTCAATACGTCTATGTTGCAAGAATCTTGCGCGCATGGAGTTCGCAAGGTTGTTCAGAGTTGCACAGTGAAGAGGATGACCTTCGTGTCGAAGCTCCAGGGCGGCCCGGTACAGCTTGATGGCTTCATCGAGATCCCCCGTTTGACCCCATCGTTCGTATCGTGTATAAAGAGACAAAGCAAGGCAAAACAACGACTGCAACCGGCCTGGATGACCTTCAGAACGCAGCTTGAGAGCGGTGCAACAGTGATTGATGGACGTTTCCAGATCTTCCCGTTCGCCTGATTGCTCGAACCGTCTCCAGTGGTCATCAGCTAGTTTGTGATGTCTCCGAGAACCATCAAGACGGAAAAAGATCTTAAAGCGAAATTTGAATCGCAGTAGAGCTTGTTTCAAGTTTATAAACATCTCAGCTTCTGCTAAAGGTCTAGTCAGAACACTTAAGTTCTCAAATAAGAAGACACGTACTGGGCTGAGATGTATCACCTAGAAGTGGTAACTCGTCTTCTCGACGATGTCTTACGCACAGTAGTTTCTTAAGCAGATGGAAGAGCTTCTCCATTGCAGGCGTTCTTTCCTAGTGAGTGGTAGGTGAAATGGTTAACCACTGGACAGTGAAGAAACCCAAGAAACAGGCAAACCACAGTTGTCACTTGTGTCCAAAAACTGTATCTGGGATGTGGGACAGTACACTGGCCCACACGATAAGTACGAATCTGTGGTTAAGAGCACCAGGCAGGCGCTTGTTCGCTACAGTGGCCATGCTGGAAACACGTTGGCTGTGTGATGGGCACGAGGCATACCCAGATTTGGCTGATTTTCACAACTGCAGGTAGGAGGATAAATACTTAGTTGATATAATGTAAGTCTCATTTTCTATTTTTTTTTTCACCTTTTGGAGATTTCAATTCTGGTTCCACTACAAGTACAGATGGAGAACAGCTACACTATAAATAATGCTCACCTCAACTGATGTACAGATGCAAGCTGAAGAGAATCATTAGAATGGATGAATTATGGTTCAGACAATAACATAAGTGCTCTGTACCTGAATAAGCTCCAAATAGAGTATGAAACAGATATTGTCTAAAGCAAGTCCTTTACAAACCCATACCTTTTCTCTAGTAGTTTTCACATCAACCGGGCCAACGCTCTTGAGCACCGCAAGAATAAATAAAGTGGCATGATGAGAAGAATATGCATGGAAAGACGCATCAACTTTTGGGATTTAGTTGCTGACCTAGTCACCTGAGCGATCGACGCGTTCCTCCACTCAGCAAACCATCTCCTCCCTCGACTCATTCGATCTCTACAAAGCAATCCTACATGTCTACATTACACCCATCTCCTGATCAATCCCTCAACAACAGTAGTAACGGCGGAGGCGTACCAAGAGGAAGCGGTAGTCCACCAGCAATTACACTTGCCCCAGGAGCCTCCCAAGAATTACTCGCACAAACCTTCGCAGCCGACCCGCGCATCCACTTCTCCACCGTCACCCGCAGATGGGCGCTTGAAGACGAGGATGGAAATGAGTGGGAGTATGATGCGTTGAAGGGTGTTTGGGTGCAAGTTGTATGTATTGCTGATTTTATTTATGTACATTGAGGCTCAAGTGTATTGAATTGTTCTAGGTGGATGAAGAGCTGTTAAGACTGCAGCAAGCTGCTTATTCTGTTCCAGGCGTTGACGAGGAGGTGAGTTCGAGCAAAGCACCCCATCAGCGTTCATACTAACGGTAGTGTTCTTCGTACAAAATACGAAGGCTCCGGCTGCGCCCATTCTCAAGCGACTCAATAAGAAACGAAAAGAACCAGAAGACTATACCTCTGCAACAACTCCTCAAGCCGGACATTCCATCAAACGAGGCAAGGGCTCAAATAACAACAATAATGGCAACAACAGCTTCAACAACAACAATGCATCCACCAACAACGCCGTTGCTTCTTCATCAAACACCACCACCCACCCAACCCAACGCAAATCCAAGAACACAGCAGTCTACGTCACCCGTCTCCCACCAGACACAACCCCCGAAGAGCTCGCAGCGCGGTTCGCCCGATGCGGCGTGCTCGAAGAGGACGACGACGGAGACCCGAAAATCAAATTATACGCACGTGATGACGGAAGTTTCTCTGGCGAGGCGTTGGTGGTGTATTTCAAGGAAGAGAGTGTTGCACTTGCGGTGGCGATGCTTGATGAGGCGGAGCTAAGGATTGGTGAGCCGAGTACGACCATGAGTGTTTCGCAGGCGGAGTTTGGGCACAAGGGTGAGGTTGGTGGAGGTGGAGGTGCTGGTGCTGCTGGAGAAGGAGAGCATAAACCGAGGAAGACGATTGATAAGAAGAGGGCTACGAAGAGGATAGGGAGGATGCAGAAGTACGTCTCCGCCTTCCCACTCCCTTGTCATATTATATTTAATTCTTTCTTTAATCTCGTGTGTCGCAGGAAACTAGAAGACTGGGGCTCAGACGACGACTTCGGACCTTCTCCCGACGCAGCATCCTCTTCCATCCGAGCAGCAGGAGCAGCAGGAGGGGTAAACAACAAAAACGCACGTGTCGTCGTCCTCAAACATATGTTCACCTTAGACCAACTCCAGGAAGACGCGTCACTCATTCTCGACCTTAAAGAGGACGTTAGAGAGGAGTGTTCCCAGTTGGGAGAGGTGACGAACGTGGTGCTGTATGATGTACGCTCTTTATTGGCTTTTTGACACGGTATTATTTGTGTTACTAACTGTTGGGATTTATAATTTCGAATTTTGTGTGGTTTTTAGGAGGAACCCGACGGAGTGATGACAGTCAAGTTCCGAGAACCAATCAGCGCTCAAGCATGTGTCCTCGTACGTCCCTTCCTTCCTCTCCCATTCTCTTCATCCTTCTTTCTCACACCCAATTTCAACTCACACATACACACATTTTAACAGAAAATGCAAAACCGCTTCTTCGACGGCCGCCGCGTCGAAGCCTCTCTCTACACCGGTAAACAGCGCTTCAAGCGTAGCGGTCCCGGCGGGGGCGAAGCATTTGGAGACGACATCGAGGGAGAGGATGACGAGGCGGAGAAACAGCGTTTGGACGAATTTGCTAATTGGCTTATGACAGAGGGGGATTGAGTTCTCCTTGTCTCGTCCTTTTCCATCTTTTTTTCTCTGACTCTGAAATTTTTTTTATCTCGAGTTGTTGTGTTCTGATTTTAACTGGTTTTTATCTTGTTTTTTTACCCTTGGTCTTATGGCGTATCTAAAGACTACTAGTGAAGAGAATGTGAAGAAGAAATGCAGTCTACGTATCTATACAATCAAATGTTGTCTGTATATTACATTATGACTATGATTTTCCTAACGAGATGTTAGATGTGTATAATCTGGTTGTCAATTCAAATTTGTTAAACGTGATGGGGATGGCGGGAGAAATAAGTGTCGGAGGTCGTAAATGGGATATGGCGTTCATGTTTGCATTTCTACCAACACGACAACAGCGCTTTCGCCTCAACAGTTTCAATACGCTGTACGGTCATGTCAACAAACAAACATCCAATCAGCCATCTCATCCACAGCAAAGAGAGACCCTCAAAGAAACGTACCTCACTAATCATGACCCTCTTCCTCTCCCCTTCCTCCTCCCTAATCCAATCCAAGTTCGGTCTCGTAGACGACCCCCCAGCCCCCGGAGTATCCTGCGACCCGAATCGTATATGTCCCGTCATACTAGCACTCAAGCTCGTACTCATATTATACGCGCCCGGACTTAAGAAACTGTTGTCCATTGCGGACATGGAAGAAGACATCGCGACGAGGTCTTCTTCTGTCATCGATGATGAGAGGGAATCTCGTCCTTCTGAATGACCGCGACCATGGCCGCCGGCGCTGGAAGGAGGAGGGACTTCGCTTGTAGGGGAGATGAGTGGGGAGGAGGCGGGTGAAGCTGCTACTGCTGTGGGGGTACGTGAGCCTGATCCTTCGCCTTCGTGTTCTTGTTCTTCGCGAATTGTAGAAGGTCGGTTCCGTTGATTGACAGTCCCGACGTCTACTTCCTCTTCTCCTCCTTCCCCTCCTCTTCTTTCTCTTTCTCCATCTCCAAGGTCATCTTCGTCCTCCTCAGCAATAACCCCCTCATCAACCGCCAACCTCCTCAACCCCGCCTCAACAGCATCCACGCGCTCCATATGCTCCAGCACAGTCACTCCACTCGTACCGGGATGTACACGCGGCAACTTCGTCAAGAACGGTACAGGACGTGCGTTAGGTGACCTTCGTTTCGCAGGTGGAGGGAACCACCTCCCTCCTTGTCCTCGTCCGCCCTGTTGTCTCTGCCCCTGTCCTTGTCCTGACTCCTGTCCTGACTGCGACGTTGTAAGGGGCGGAGCAGTACCGTCGACTGCTCCCTGGCTGAGCGTACGCCGATGCGTCGGTAGGGTAACAGGAAGCGTCTTCACCGACGGCTTGGGAGATGCTGAGAGTGGACCAGCAAGGAGCTCCGTAATCGCATCGTCTGCAGTCTTTACTTCCACTTCGTCATCCCATACGAGAACCTTTTGTCGACGCGTTAACTCGAGTGGACCTTCGTCATCGTGTTTTAGACTTTGTACGACGTTGTATGCTTGGCCTTTCACAACCGCTAGTTGTCTCTACAAACGGACGAGTTCACAACACCGCGTCAACTTCCACTCATAAGGAATATGGAAAAATGGGATATAGCATGACGAACGAACCTGGAACATCTTCCGATTAAAATCCGGATCCACTGCAAACACCTTCCTCAACAAAAACGTCGTCTCCTCCCACCAACTCTTACTCGTCAACATCGGCAAGAAATGATCCCTCGTCTTCTGACTAAACGGCTGCCCAATTAAACTCACAGGCAAATACAACCATCCATACGTATATGACCTCCATCCTCTCGGATGTTCATGCGGGAATGCAAGTGAGTTATCAATAGCTGCGATATGAATGTGCGGGGAACGCGTGTAGGGCGGCGATTGTGCTTGTGCTTGTGCCTGTTGTTGTTGTGTGTAGCTTGGTGTGCGAGAGGGTTGGGGAGGTGTTGGGAGAAAAGTGGACGATGAAGAACCACCCGAAGGCATACCCATGGAAGGCATTGGCGGAGTGGAAATCAGGCCCTCCTTGCGGAGCTCGCCCATCATGGGCATTTGAACGGAGTTGTGCCGCGAAGGTGCTACGTCAACCAGGGACTTCTCGTGTTCGCCTTCGCAGTATTTGATCATGTAGTTGTCCGCCCCGCGGTCAGTATTATGCATTATATAGTCTAAGTTATAGATTAATTGGCCGATTGTCGCGCGAATAAGGAAAGCATACGAACCTAGAATTACAAGCCTTGGACACGCAAAGCGAAAAACCACATCAACAATCGAATGCAACATTCACGCGAAAATACTCACTTTTCCAGCTCCTCTCTAAAACTCTGCTGCAACGTAGCACTCCAATAGAAAGGATGACTCGAACCATCATCTTCGCTCACGTCATATAAAACGCGCTCCTCGTCGAAATCATACAAATCATTCGTCTCTTCTTCGGCGCCCGTCTTTCCACACACAACCTTAAGAGCTGAGAGGAAGCGCTTGCCAAACCTCCCTGTGCGATGTGTGGAATCATCGAATGTATCTCGTATTGATCGACCAGGCCATGGGTGTTTGCGAAGGAAATCAGATGAATCTGTTGATGTGAATTTAACAACATGGCAAGTAGAAAAATAGCGAGAACATACCTTGGTAACCGTGCATGAAGCATTGCATGCTACCGATCTTGTCAGGTAACGGTTTACCTTTCTTTGCGGCGTTCCGATCTAGCCAATCATAAAAGAAGGCCTTAAAATAGTTTAAATGTCTGAGAATGGACGACGGTAGCAAAGGACGTACGGGGCTGGAGAACGAGACTAGTTGAGTCTTGGGTACAATATTGAGGTTTAAGCGGTCATCTAAGAGAGAGGCAGCCGCCTCAGATATATAACTGAAATGAAACTACGTTATACACTTTCGCGAATGATGACAACAGCGTTACCACGCACCTTAAGTTCGGTATGAGACAAGCTCTGCCGAAAGGGATAATCCATCTGAATTGTCGATGCAGCCATTTAGTTGTCTAGAACCAAGTGCTCATAAGAATCTGCAATATAGGAATCTGGCAAAGGACACATACTTTCGGATTCAGACGTCCATAGGGTTCTTCATCCTTCGGTTTGAAAACACTGGGGTGCGCGTTCAGGAATCAAACCACATGATGTATGATTGATTGATGACTTACGCGACAGTTTGTATTCTTCCATCCACTTTAGCTCGTGCGAAGTACGAACCTGACGAGCCCTTGGAGATCATCTTCGGATGGATCCCTTCTGAAATGGCTTTTTGGACGGACATTACGATCCTAAGTTACATATTTAATTTCTAAACAGCTCTCGAATGGACCGGACGAAATGTGCATACTTGTCAAAGTCGGCCTGTGACATAGGCGGGTTGTGATCTAGAGTCTTGACCTGCGTTGCACGTTAGATGAGCTGTTTTCGTAGCTAATATGGAATGGATACGTACCACAGTCGGTGGAGGAAGTTGGGCAGGTATTTGAGGCTCGAACACGCTTCTTAGAATTTCCTTGCGCGAATCGTCGGACTGGACTTTCTTCTTGCCCTTTACTTTCTGGGCTATACTCTCCGTCCATCTTGATGACGAGCGTAAATCAGCACGGACGTATTCGACAAGAAGAAATATACGTACCTCTTGAAGGCAACGTCAAGTTTCTTGAGATCTATAGGACCAGGTCTGCCCTTCCTCCTGAGGCCCTTGGACCCTCTTGACACCGGCGTGGTCGACGACGGACCTGCCCCGCTAGTGCTGCCACTTTGTTGCTGTTCGACATCGTCATCAGCAGACTGAGAAAGAGGTTGGTAGTCTGCGCGGTTTGGCATCTTCCAGCCTTGTATGCACGCGTGTTATAACGCGCTGGCACCTATGAGTTAACGTGTACAGGAGACTCAGTGAGAGAGGACGTGTGCAGTTGCGGCGATTGACCGCGTATTACATAATAATATGACGCGTGTCCGATCGACTTTCCTTTTCTGGGTGGCATCGCATATCTATTGCCAGCTCTCTCAGTCGACTCTAGTTTCTCTCGGCTCTCAGCCCAGTCTAAGGCTCCTTCCTCACAGCTGAGACCACAGCTTTTGGTCGTCCGCGCTGGCATCTGGGTCACCTTTTCTTACTCTCTCTTTTATACTGCCCAGTTCGTTGGAACTGTGTACCCACTCGTTCTTCACTGTCTAACGACCTCTACGAACATACGTTCCCACTATGGTGCTTAGTATACTCAGCGTCTGGTCGCCCAAGGCTTCAACGGGCAAGGACAAGTCCTCAGACCGGAGCGACGCAGAACCAGTCGATGTCTCCGTCAGTCCAGTGAGCATTGAGAGAGCAAATAGCGAGGCTAAGGATAACGTCGACGCGTCGGGTGCATCGTCTCCTATCGGCGCGGACGAACCCGCCAAGCCGACAGTGGACCCAACGACGACGACGTCTACAACCGAAAAACAAGAGTCTAAATCTCCCGAAGCTGTAGATGATTCTACAAAGGAGCAGAACGACAGACCCAAACCCCAACGCGCACAATCTCGTTTCTCCTTCCGCTCTTTAGGTTTCTTCTACGGAGGCAATGTCAACTCTGCAAAGCCACCTCCTACGACGCTCACTCATGCCCAAGAGACTCACGAGCGTCAAAAGGCATCTGTTGCAGCAAAGCGCGAGCTCCTCGCTCCGTTCGCTCGTTCCGCCGATCGCCGTGCGCAACGAGATGCCCTAGCTGTGCAGAGACTGATAGTAGGCCCGGGAGCCGTGACCCTTTCTGAGAATAACGTGAAGGCACGCCCGGTATCTAAAACCCAGATGACGAAGATCAAGAGTCAGCTTATGCAGCCCAAGTCCGCGAACAGACTTATTGCAAAGTTGAGGGAGCTGCCTCCTCCCGAGGCGCCTCTTGACGTCACTGCACTTAACGTCAACGCAGATGAGGTCGGAACCGAGGTCGAAGGGGAAAAGACCGAGAGCGAAACGGAGAAGAAGCCTCCTTCTGCGACTACATCTGCTGAACCAAAACTGAAAGCAAGTAGTGGCAGCAGCAACATCCCAATCCACGCCGTCTGCCTCGAAAGCCCCGACGTCGACGTCTCCTCCACCTACTTCTCAAAACTAACCAACCAATCCATCCTCTCCTCCCCAACATCCTCTCTCTCCTCCCTCTTCTCCTCCCTCCACATAGTCGACCTCCTCTCCGCTCCCAACTTCGGTCTCGGGCAACCCGGTTCCGGAGAAGGCCTCCTCGCAGGTGCAGTCCCCACAGCCGAAACCGTCATCGAAGGTGCAACAAAGCTCACCCCTCAACTCCTCGCTCTCGGATACGCAACAGGCCAAGCTATCCTCCCCTCCCACACCGGCATCCACCCCCCAACAGACCGCATGAGCATCCTAACCTACTGGTGGGGCCTCGAACTCTGTCTTCCCCCTCCCACCCTCCAACACCTCTCCTCCGCCCCAAACATCGCTCACCAAATAATCAACTTCCTCTCCGCTCTCTCCCTAATGAACAACGGCGTCCGCGAAATCCTCCCCTTCGTTCGGTACATCAGCCAATTCGTCGATTTCGAGTGGTCCGCAATTGAGAAGCAGGATAAGGGAAAGGGAGTAGTGTGTGCTGCGACGTGGATTATGCCTGCTGCGATGGTTCCGAGACCTTGGGATTTTCCTGACCCGTCACCGCCGTTGAAGACTCCCGTTATCAAAGACCCGACGAAACCTACTCCTGGGACCGGTAGTGAAGAAGAAGAGGGAGACGGTGTAGGCAGGATCATCAAACCGCCTAGTATACCCCTCCCAACTCTCGTCGTCACCCCTCCTTCTGTGATCAGGAAGAGTCCTTCCCAGAATACAAATACCGCAAAGTCTTAGTCTTAGATATTCTCAAGACTTTGACCAATCAACGAAACCAAATTTATTTGGCCGTATATTCTTATCACCACGAACTTTACATCACCTCTTACCCGCTTCCCGACTCTGATTTTGTTGTTTTCTTGGACTCACGGAACTGAATTATCATCTTGGATCTTGGACTCTCAAACCAAACACGATTACTCCTTTCACGTCTCTCACGACCTCTCACGACCCAATACCTCTGTACTTTGCTCTGTCTCTCCATACTTACTTCACCTGTACCTGTTACCCCGTCGTCTTGTCTGTTGTACAACTATACCGTCGCAAATGATATCAAACTTATCTCGCTCGACTTGTAATCATCCCGTGAGTGCCTTGTTTGGTAAGCCAAGGCCCAAACGAGTACATACCCTCTTCGCCCACGTTTTTTGTATGTGTTCAGTGTGGATAGTTGTAGTCTACGGGTACATGCTAAAAGGACAAGAATGCTTTTGAGGGCTTGATCTAGGTCGTCGTAACAGTATATAACACCAGGTCTGATGTACAACTGCAGCGTCACGACAGCCCAGACAGAATTTTTGCGGAGAAAGGAAAAGGAAAAAGGATTCCGGGGCACAAAAAGTCCGTGTATCGTGCATTCGTGCAATTCATGAAGAATCTATGTGGTTAAGAATCAAGACTTGGGGAACCTCGAAGCGGAGTACGAGAGCAAAACCAAGCAAGTGGGGACAAGGAGTGTCATGCTAAAGAGTGAAAGAATGGAGTCCTTAAGAAAGTCGCTTTTTGGGTGCAGTGAGAAAGGGGAAATACATCATTCGCGCATACCTACAAGGATGGTACGGTAGGGGGGATGGGGGAGTTGCAAAGTGTATACGTTGAGCGTTGGATCCTAAGGAAGACGAAGTAAAGAATGAGGGTGGAACGCGAAAAAAGGCGTGCTCTACATTTTATGCTCGCTGGTGAGCGAGGGCATGAACAGAAAAGGATGGAATAGTAGGAGCGAAAGCAAGAAGACGTTACGATGATCGTTCTGCGTACAGCCTCTCGTATCCAGCTGCGAGCCAAGGATGAGCTTTCACCTCTGCAATATCCGCACGGCGCTTTGGGTCGACGTCAAGGCACCTCTGTAGTAGATGGTAGCACTCATCAGACATACGTGCCCTTGACACATCATCAAGTACGATTCGCCCATTCCGTTTATCCTCCTCCGTTGGGAAAGGCGACATGCCAGTGATGAGGAACGAGAGGAGCACCCCAATAGCCCATATCTCCGCAGGTGCTGCTTGGTATAACTGATTCGCCATGATTTCGGGCGATGCGTAAGCAGCGGTGCCATAGAACGTCTTGTAGAATGGACGGTCCTGGGATGGATCAACAGATACAACACTACCAAAGTCGACAAGTTTGATCTGACAGCTCATATAAGCGTACGTATATACCTCAAATACTTCTTGTAGCATACCTTTAGATTCTTGTCAATGACCACATTCTCATCCTTGATGTCGCAATGAGTAATTCCAAGTTGATCCAAGTAATCGATAACGTCGACAACTTGAGCGAAAATGTACTTCGCATCGTCCTCTGAGAACCGCTTGTGCTTAGATTGTTCAATACACTCGAACAGATCGTGCGATGCTCGACGAGCGAATGTTGGCCGTGCTAACGGACCCTTAGCAAGTTTCTGGATCTTGGATGATTTTGAGCCTGAGTCTTGGTCTGCTGTAGAGGCAGTCACGGCAGGAGGTTCGTTTTCGTCTGTACCCGTTTCTGGAGGTTCCTGGGAAGTTTGACGGGCATGAGTAACCTTACTTCGCCTTCTGTACCAGGGGGTTCCGTGCAGTTCCATCACCTGGAATAACGCGCATGAGAAGCTAGTGAACAGAAAGTCAATAAACTCACAAGATAGAAATACAAGTTGTCTTCATACAGCTCGTGAAACTTCACGATAGCAGGGTGGTCGACCTTCGACAGGAACCAGGCCTCCTTCGGTATGCTCTTCCCAGACTCATCAGTGACCCATCCATACCTCGGAATTTTGTCCTTGGGGATGAACTTGACAGCGACCTCCTGGCCATTTTGGCGACGTCGCGCAGTCATTACGAACCCATAGCCTCCCGAACCAAGCTCTGCATCTAAGGCATAAGTGCGCACAAAGTCACTTCGAAGACGATGGTCTGGTGGGAATCTGGCGCAGTAGGAACGCCCGAGCGTAGAGGGTAGGAATCCTGAACTAGGTGCGCAGGAGAGCTTCGGCTTCTGGCCCGCGCGCGTATCATTCAGAGGGGACTGCGTGTCAGAGGCACGTTTGCGAAGTGGAAAAGGTCGGGGTGGCGCGCTTCGGTCGTCCACAGCCTGCTCCGGGCGAGCAGAAGTGTTCATGGAGAGTAACTTCCGCGGGGAGGGGGAGAGTGGCGCATGTGATACCTCAACACTAGAGGGGTACAGATCAAGACTCGAGTCGTCCAGACTTATGTGAGTGTCAAGCAAAGTATTCGAACAAAGTATACTGGCGTCTAACGGAGGTGACGTAAAAGATGGCGAGGAAAGTACGGAGGCAGGTGACGCTGCGAGAAAATCGTCGAATAAAGGCTGGTTACCTGGTTTACACGGGGAGGAGAAGCAGCTTTGACCTGAAGACGAACAACGTGAGGTAGAATCTGCTGTGGCACGCTCGTGGAAGTCCGGAGAAACGGCGCTTGGATCGTAGGTATCACTTATCCCAGGAGGATATGCCACTTCAATGAGCTGCGCCGAGTCCGACAAAGGCGTGTTCAATTGATCTCCATCATCCGAGGACGAGTCACCAAGGTCCATGGCGACTGAGAAGACGAGAGGGTGTTGCGAACTTGTGCCACCAGAAGCAGAACGAGTACTAGGCGCAGCAAAGCAGCCCTGAGATGCTGGAAAGCTAATACGCGCAGTCACGCTCATGGAATCTCGAGCAGACAACCGTGGCGCATTGGACGCGAGAGGAGGAGGTTAATGAAGAGAGAGTGAGATAGGCAGCGCAGTGGCCACAGTGGTGGATGGCCAAGTTGAGGATGCCCATCGGGGCAAGTATGACATCGCACTTTGCTCTAGTCAACACTCAAATACTCGAATAGGCAGTGTAAGTCATTCGGTCCCTGCAGAATCCAACAAGTGGTGCATCTAAAAGATAAAGTCTACGATACAGCTGAGACAGTAAAATTCATGAAGAGAACAAAGTGAAAGCTCCGAGATGGACGCAAAGGTTTAAGGTACAGGGAGAGCCTATGACTCAGCAAGATGAGTTGTCTCGCCATGATTATCTACTTGCCGCTTATAGCCAGCACTGCCAGTTTCCGCGCCCAAGCGTCATCGCCCGCAGGTCTCTTCCCTCCGATACCCTCTCTTTCTTCCAAACTACCACCACCTCTTCTATAAGATAGAGTAAACAAGACTTTCAGTTAGCAATATGTCAGGAAATAGTGAGACTTCCAAGGCAGAAATATTTGTTACATCTGTTGACTAATAGCACTCTGGCTATATGCACAGGCTACATCGTCGTATTCAATGACGAAGTTACTGCGGACCAAATTGACAAGTACGTGGCTGAAGTTAAGGAAGGAGGTACGCATATACTTCGATACCGAGCATTGCTTACAAGCACTTACTATTACTTCGACTTGTTACTGTCGCATATAATGAAACTATGATGTCATTCTCGCCTTGCGCATAACAATTCATCAGGGGGAGAAGTAACCAAACGCTTCGATGCTATCCTAAATGGCTTTTCTGCAAGGATCTCAGACCAGACACTTAATGTATTCAAATCGCTTCAAGGCGACGTGATCAAGTACATTGGTCCGTTTTTCGCTCATTAGTTTGTCTGCTGGATTGGAATGCTAAATCGTGTTTCCATTGCAGAACCGGACCAGGTCGTCACCACGCAGTAGACATTCACATTGACTAAGCCCAGATGAATTCGTTGTACTAGCCCGGAATTATTATTACGTAATCCAGCATCTGAATTACGATGCAATACATTTGTCTCCGGAATTATTTAATTTCGTCAGGCAGGGATTCAGTCCTCTTTCCAAGAGTAGGCTAGTGATACACAAATATTTGGAGCCCTCATCAATGTACAGAAGGACAGTATCAAGGGAGAGTCAAAAGTTCTTGTTATTAGGGACTTGAGGGACACTTCCAGACTAAGATCAGCTATGCAGGAGATTAAAAACATCAGAAATACTGGGATGCTGGCCAAGAGAATAGTTTTCAGTAACAAGAAACAAGTCTCTCGTGCTAAAGTGACCAAAGCTCTTTGGGAGACAAAATGGGTCCATTTTGTTTGTCATGGACTTTTAGGCTCAAATTCTTTTGACTCTTCCTTCCATTTATCTGATGGCAGGCTAACATTATTTAATATTGTTCAGTACAATCTCCTAAATGCAGAGTTTGTGTTTCTTTCTGCTTGCCATACTGTAGAACAGCCACAATTTGGTGCACACAATGAAGTCCTTCACCTTGTGGCAGTCATACAATTTTCCGGATTCTGTAGCATGATCAGTCCAATGTGGGCACTGCTAGACAAGGATGGACCTTATTTTGCCAGGGCTGTCTACAGATACATAGACGACTGCAAGGAGGGTGAGGTGAAATATAAGAGAGCAGCTGTGAGACTTTGCAATGCTGTGTTGGAGTTGAAAGCACGAGACGAGATCAAGACTGAATGATGGGTCAATGTCGTGCATATTGGTGCCTAAAGTGAGTTTCTTTAGTAACGATCATACAGCGTGTCTTACAATGTATCTTTTCACTTTCCAGTGTATTTTCCTTCTGCACCTTTCATTTTATTGACACTGTCAGTGTGTTCGGTCAAATATGGATGCAATGATTGTGTTCACGATTGAATGAATAGGTCCGGCTGATTAAAAAGAAAGGGTCGAATTGCTGCTTGTTTCATTGTAATTATGTAAAAGGATCTCACTATGCAGATTTTTTGTCTTTCTGTGTTTGTCAAACAGATATTGGATAAAATGATGCTTACCAGACATGTTGATACTTATAAATCAGTCCAGATTTTCTTTGATGCTTATATGCGCAGAGGGCCCAATTTGGGAAGATCAGGCTAAACACACTGCACAGGCAAGTTGAAGGAGTATTACAGCTCATTGCTACGACAGTCGATTCAAAGGAATGTCTGAGCGCACATACGTTACTTCCAAAGAGCAGACATAAAGGAGGCTTCCTCGTGTACAGTGAAGAAGCGAGAAGACAGTCAGATGCCTGTACGGGTTGATAAACTGTGGGAGCTTGAGGCCCCGGCGGCACTGGACGACCCGAAGAGGCTATATGCGACAATTCACCGGCCGGAGCGCACGCATAAGCGACACCACGTACCACGTCAAACACGGCGATGGCGACGGCGGATTGCGCATTGTTGGTGTGCCAGCTGTACGGGAAAGCAACGGAGGATAATGTGATGGCACCGGGGTGAATTGCGGCACGGTCGGGACGGGGATTACCGGATAGGGCAGTAGGCTGCTGTAAATAATGGCCGCCACCTGTCACGTGGGTGAATAGCGAGAGGGCGAGATTGTCGGTGCGCTCGGGCCAGTCAACGGCTCTGTCTGTCTGTCTGTGTACTCAGCCCTGCCCTGCGTGGCCTGCGCTCTCTGCCTTTATCCCTCCCCGCCTCCGCGCAACTCTCTCTCAACCACCCCACCACCACCGTCTTTATCGTGCACACATTTCTTGCAGCTCTGCCCGCGTACAGCATATATCCTTTGCACCATTTCCATTTCTCCGCCCATCCCGCGGCTTATTGCCCTCTGGCACACAACCCTCCCACCCCGTCGCCTGACCTCGTCACACAAAGCACAAGACATCCTCACTCCCAACCACAAAGGTATGCGCATATCTACTCTACCTCTAGCGTTGGGCTCTCGTGCTCACCGTGGCTGCAGCTCACCCGCGCGGTCTGGCGCCATCGGACCCTCTCGCCGCCGCACCGCACCACCCCAACGCGCTTCGTTGCCCACACATCCCTTTGTAACTCAGGTACGCACCTCATCGCTGCATCTCCCCCTCCCAGCTAAGTCTGGGCCGACAGTATGCTCCAAGTCGGCATCCATTCCTCCCAAAATGCTATACTCGGCTCTCGCTGGCCAACTTTGCTTTCCACGCCTGATGCGGCGAACGCGCGTACAAACACGCAGCCTCCCTCCCCCTCATCAACTACACATCTTTCCCCCATGACTACCACGACCACCTCGTCCATATCACGCCGGAAGCCCAAGATGACTTTCCGCTCACCCGACGCGTCGACCCCGTTTGCCCTCAAGCTCTCCGCATATTCTCCGCCCACCTCCTCTGAAAGGAACGATCAAACCAAGGAACAGTCTCACTCGAATGCATCCTCCCCTGGTCCGTCGTCCGCACCAAGCGTTTCGACCGCCAGCGCTGCCCGCAGCACGTGTTCATTCTTTACACCATCGCCGCCGCTATTCAAGATGCCTCTCGCCTACCCCTCCTACCACCCCTTCTCAGCGAGCCAACTTCTCCTTGCAGCGACAGCTCGTGCGGACGCCGCTGCGCGTCGTCGTGCTGCTGCTGAGAATGGTGGTACCGAGTGTGATGATACCAGCCTCAAAGGCGACGACACAGCTGTCAACGGCAGTGGACGTCTTGATGCTGACGGACGCACGCGCCGAAGCTCATCTCGCACTCGCCGACCCGTTGCAAAGTTGCGTGATGTGGTCGACGGTGAGGAAGGTGCTAACCAGGAGAACGCTAACAAAGAAGATGACACCAACGGTGCCAAGAGCCCCAAGCGGAAGAGGGCTGGTGGAGGCGCCGGTAGCCGGAAGAGGCGCAAGGAGGCTCAGATTGCGCAAGCTGAAGTCCAGCCGAGGAGGGAACGCCAGAGACGTGGGGCTGCTGCAGCTGCGGCTGCCGCGCTGGCCGAAAACGCTGAGGCGGTGGCCGCTGCACTTGACCGGGACTCCACGGAGGCTCCGGAGCAAGATGAAGTACCCATGAGTGTCGATGGCTCAGCTGCACCTCCAACTCCGGAAGACGACGAAAAGGAATCCGAAGCTACAGCGCCCAGGAATTTAGCTGGTACGAAGTCTGCGCGCGGTAAACGCCAAACTCGGCCCAAGCGTTCTCGCAACACGTCAGGTAACAAGGTCGATGCTAAAGAACCGACTCCGACACGCACGACCCGGCAATCGCGTCGCCGAGGGACCAGTGAAACCGGCAGTGAAGAGACAGCAGCAAACTCCAGTACGAACGGAAGTGCGCCTGTCACCGAAACACCTATCACGGCGAAATCTGAGGCTCAGGACGACGAAGTTCCTGCTCCCACGCCCGTGGAACCCAGCGCACCTGTGGACGACTTCAACGCAAATATCGATCCAGCGCTGCTTGCTGAAGACGCGTCTGTTGCTGCTGCATCAACCGGATCTGCAGCTGCGGTTCCGCGATCTGCGTCCCCATGAAGTTTTTAACTTTAATTTACGTGTTTTCATCACGTGATCTTATATCTCTTTATTCTGGAAGTCGGAGATTTTGATGTTTCTTGGATCTCTCTTCCGGTTTAGGCGTATCTGAACTGCGTCGTATCTCTTGTGGGGATCTTATATCGAATATGCCGAGGGATGGATTTCTTGAATCTTGACCGGTCAATCGGTTCTTCATGTCCATCGCTATTCTGATTTCCACGATTCATCTGTCTTATTTCTTGCTCGACTTATTCATCTCTATTCTTAATCCCGTGTTGTTTTGTGTACGCTGTACACTATTCCTAACGACCACCGCGACCGTCCGATCATCCCATTCCCGTTCCCGTTCTATCACCTATCATCCTCCACATTCCTCCTCTTCTCCTATCGCCGTCCTTTCTCATTGGGTGTACTCTCGAGCATATCGAATTGCTTTCCGATTTTTGCTCCTATCTATTCTCGGTCTATCTGCCCCTCCCACCATCTCTTCCTATCCATTCCAGTCTAAATCGTCTTACCATCTCTCCTAGCCTCGTCTCGTTTCCTTTAGTCATATCATGATCTTGGTCCTATCTCCCACCACACGAACACTGAAAATCTACATGACTCCCAGCGGCCAAGGATGTGGATATTGCATATGGACGCACCAACTTGGCTCGACGTCTGCCTCTGCACCTTGACCTGGGTATATGTCTGTTTCCCCTCCTCATTTCCCATTTCTCATTTCCCGTCTCTCAACTATCCAGGTCTCTGTTCCCACATATTTGCTGCGATCTCTCTTGTCTAGGAAAAGCGATGTACTATTATTGATATAAAAGAATCTGCTTGCTTGTTTGGACGGTCCTATAAAACTGAGAACCGAGAGTAGATTAAAGTGTGTAGTATTACTATTAATAAGGAAGAATTTGATAGGTGGGTTTTTGGATAGGTGAGTCAGAAACGCGGGTCCCTGACGCGCCGCGATGCGTACTTGAAATTGAATTGAATGAGCGTGTAATTCCTGTAAATGGAAGGATAGTCTCAGACGATGATCATGCTTACGTACACAAAATAATCAAATCGAAATTGTCTCTGTGACTTTGTGCTGATGCTGCTTACCGTGCAACGTTCTCTTCATGCTTGGGCTCAACCCATCTATCAGAATTTTCACTATAGTCTGAAAGCAAGAAACTATCTGCTGCAATTGCGATGTCTGAGAAGAGGGTTTACTGTACTTGCGTTGGAGAGCTCGGCAGATGATACGTGTGCTGCTGTTGTCACTTCTGAGAAGCGGATTTTGTCGAATGTCGTTATTAGCCAGCGGAAGAAGTGAGTGAGCTTCTCAAGTTAATAATATGTTTTTTGAGTTTTCATTGTGTTGGATGAATACTAATGACTCTGTTGTTGTTTGTTTTAAGTGTTGAAACGCACGGAGGGATAGAACCGTTCGTTGCTATTCAGGAACATCAGAGGAATATGGTCTGTTCAGCTTGAATTCTTACACACGTCTATCTATTTACTAATTCTATTCCTTTTGTCTCCGTCATTTCTTCTTGAAGTAGCCTGTAGCAGTCCGTCGAGCACTGCAAGAAGCTCAGCTCGACATGTCTCGTATCGACGGTATTGCATTCACCCGAGGGCCCGGGATGGCCGGTTGTCTGAGTGTATGTTCGAACGCTGCAAAGACACTTGCTGCTGCACTTGGAAAGCCGCTTGTTGGTGTACATCATATGGTTAGTCTTCCTCTCTTAGTCCAAAATGCAAAAATGTATTAATCTTCCATGAAAAATAAATATTATGATGACGGTGAATGAAAAAAGCAAGCACACGCACTAACACCAATCCTAACCTCCACAACACCCTCATCAACACCTACCTTCCCCTTCCTAACACTCCTCATCTCAGGAGGACACACTCTCCTCCTTCTCGCGCTATCGAATTCGAAGTTTAGGATTTTGGCGACGACGAGAGACGAAGCTGTTGGGAGGGCGATTGATAAAGTTGCGAGAGAGTTGAGGGTGGAGTTGCGGGGGAGGGCACCTGGGGCTGCGCTTGAGGTGTTTTGTCGGGATGGTTTTGGTGGAGACAAGAAATGTGGGAAGGAGGAGGAGAACGTACCGCATGTGGAACCGCTGAAAGTTCCTTTCAAAGGAGAGTTGGCATTCTCGTTTGCGGGGCTGCATAGCGCAGTGGACCGTTACATCTTACAACATGGAGTGCCTCTACAAACAGACACGGAGCGATCGAGTCTATCGACCAAGCCTAACATCTACAACAACGATAACAAAAATGCCAATGAAAACGCGAAAGAACGGACCGATCTAACGAAGAAAGACAAAACCCGACTCCAGCTACCCTACCCGCATCGGCTCGCGATAGCTCGTACATTCCAAGATGCTGCTTTTGCGCAGTTGGAAGAGAAGGTGATCCTTGCGTTGCGTTGGTGTGCAGACAACTCGCAGTCTATCCTTCGGGATCCCGCTTCCTCGCAGGGACTAGCAGTACATAACGGGCAGAGAATACCAGTGAAGCATGTTGTCGTTAGTGGAGGTGTCGCTAGTAACTTACTTTTCCGCGAAAGGTGTATTCACTCCATTCATAGTATTAGAGCTGCTAGACTTACTGTCCGCCTCGTTTCTGGTATGTAGATTACAGGCGTGCCTATCGAAGAACTTCCCAGACGACGAGCTCTCTCTGGTATTCCCTCCACCAGCACTTTGCACAGGTACGCTCGTCACCGCTTTTATTACCTGTCAAGAATACGTGCTAACCCCCCTTCCCTTTTTTTTTCTGACTTCATAATTATTTTCTGCTGTAGACAATGCAGCGATGATCGCGTGGGCATCCATGCATCGATTCTTAGCAGGCGAATCAGACGACTACTCCATCGAACATAGAGCAAAGTGGTCTATTGAAAAACTCGACGCTTCATAAACTTTCCATCTCTATGCATACACAAGACTTCGCATAATTTCATTTGGTCAACTAGCCCGTATATTACACCTGCTACGAAATCTACGACTGTAATTCATGCAGCAAATTGCCAAGGAATTGGATGTATTCGGTTGACACATTCAAAACAGAAGTAACAACTCGTCTGAGCAACAAGGGAGCTCAAAACTATGAACGGTAGTACCTAATGCCTAGGTATACGCCTCATTATTGTAAGACGCTTGCAAAGCGGATAAATGAATAGCTGACTCGCTTAGATGACATCTTACTGGTGGAGAAGTCTAGATTCGACTGGCTATCGTATGAATATGGATGCAGGCGTTTATTGCTAATTTGCTGTGTGTAGTACTTCCCACAAAGGCTCGGCAGATTTCTTTGCTCTGACAAATGCTAAATTGAACGCTCTACATTCAGATTTCTACATAATACTTGTTACGCTCATGTATGCATTATTTCAAACCAAGACCAAGTACCTGACATGGCTTCCAGACTAATAAAATCCATCGCAGAATAAATAAGCAAAAGGGATGCTTCGAATGCTGAGCACAGATATTAATATTCCAAGAAAAGTGATTCCTGGCATTGTTGGGAGCGAACGATATACACCCACCTTCAAACGCTTGATGTGCCTTCCTCGTTTGAGGCTGCTACCGGGCCACCTGCGACGTATTAGCTGTGTTGAAGATAGACGAGAGAGAACAGACATACCATGGGCGAATTCAATGTCGCTTACAGCTCTTGATCTGTAATTTGTTCCCTCGTTCACTCCCAGCTCGCCTGCCTTTTTCAAATTGATAAGAAGATGGCTTCCGAGGACGCACAGAAGTGCCGGGTTTCCAGCAGCATTCAGAAGAAGCGCAACGAATTGATTGGCAACATAGACTCGACTAGTAACTATTTTCAGTGTGGAGCAGAATATTACACTATATTTCTCAGTTTAGGAGTTCAATGGTAAGAAAGATCCTACTTACAAGCTGTAATATAAGACTTGGTCTATAATGAGGACCCTGATAAGGTGGAATCCTTTGAATCCAGATGTCATTCTCCAGTATTGCGCAGACTTGTAGAGAGCCAGACATAGTAGAAGCGTTCCGTACGTTAGAGGTACAGTCCTACTCTGATCAGTTGCAGTTGAAGTATACAATTAAGCCACCTACCATGAGATGGTGATCAGCACTTTTGGAGGATCTCTGCTTATCCCGCAATAAGTGACACTCTGTGCAAGTATACCAACAGTAACTGAAACGTATTGCACCTCAGCCTGTCCAGCACTTGTTAAAGTAAGAAAAATGACAGTCTTACCATCTTCAAATAGATCGGCAGGAATAAGAAATGCAAGTCCAAGGCATGCTTCTACAGCAAGGAGAACCTTCAGGCAGATCGAAAGTGTCTTGTCTGCCAAGATCTTCAGCCAGTCTTCTTCTGGTGGTATATCATACTTACTCTGATGGTACAATGCCAAGACACGGATTTGAAGGATATCTGCAGACAATCATATACACAAAAATATCCACATCGATAATTGGAATCACCTTACAATCTATAAGGAGAAGTGTGATCAAGTCTAATGACTGGATTAACAGATTGTGTATTGAATAGCACTGTGATACTCACCGCATACGTTAATGGTCCAGTAAGTCGCCCGACCTGACTATCAGGTCAACAGTATATGTTAATTGTCAAAACATACGACGCACAGCTGTGAATGAATAATTCAGGCTGGATATCAGCACAGCTCAATTACTCTGTGTCTATCCTACCTCAAAATGTTGACGTTGAAGCTAGTATCATCTAACGTAAAGAATGCATGTGCCAATTAATTTGTATAAGTTTGCTGGATTTGTAGATGCTCTCTTACAGTAAATGAGACAAATCACTCCAAGGAGTCCAACGTAACGATTCTAGACCTCCATTATTAGAATGAGCTTGCCAGCTACAATGTCCCAATAACTCTTACAGTGAAGTAAATCAAACTCGTAGGGTTGAACGGCTTGTTCTTCACCATTTTCATTGATACAAGGGCTCGTGGAAAAGGATATTACTGTCATTTTCATAAATATTGTCACACGCGCGATTCGTGATTTTCGTCACACTAAGTACACTCAAATACAAAATCTATCGTAACTCAACTAATACTTAACCAAATTACATGATCTAAGTTGTAAAAAATATACTTTTAAAGTGTCTTTCATATCCCAGGAAAAATAAAGTAAAATGAGCAAAATTTGAGTAAGATACAACACAATATGT